AGCCCTTATGACCTTGTATGAGCTCTAGGATATGCACATCTCCATCTGATGAAGTGAGAACTATCTTAGATTTTCCAATGACTTGAGCCAACATATTCTTCTTGTGGCTTAATTTGAATTGCTTTTTGCCACTTATAATTTTTAGAGATTTATGCCATCCTCGGATGTATTGCCATCCTCGATTTTTAGAAGGGGAAACCGAATCTCAGTGAAATTTCTGAAGTCAAACAGCCAAATCGGGGAGAGAATGTAGCTCTTTAGGGCCAGTGGAGTTGGATCCAGATGGAGGCCTGCTTACTGCTTACTTATCCCTTAGACCTTCCTCACTTACCATTTAGACCTTCCTCCAGTCCTGCTCTCAAGGCTGCCTCACCTCTAGTACCCCTGCAAACATGGACACTTACAAGGTCTATTTACAGAGCTCTGGTCAGGTGCTGAGAGCCTCTCCTATCCCTGCAGCAATTTCCAAGATTGTTTTGAGTGAGCAAGGTTACTCTGACAATGAGTTAATCCTGCCATCATTACTGGGAGTTTGTCCAACATCCTTTGCTCCATCTTAGAGTCGGGCTGCTTATGACTTTCTGCGCTCACCTTTGACATTCCATAGACAGACACATCCACAGTCCTCATGGTTTTTTTTTTTTTTTTTTTTTTTGTCAGAGAAAGCGAGTACAGGGAGACAAAGAGGCAGGCAGAGGGAGAAGCAGGCTCCCTGCTGAGCAAGGAGCCTGATGTGGGACTCGATCCCAGGACGCTGGGATCATGACCTGAGCCGGAGGCAGCCGCTTAACCAACTGAGCCACCCAGGCGTCCCACACAGTCCTCATGTTTTGATTTGATAACTTTCACTGTTCTTCCTTCAGGAGCCTAGCTGAAGGGTAGAGTTCCAGGAAATAGAAACCTCATTTTTTAAAAATCTTATTTATTTTGCCAGTGGCAGGTCCAGAGATGAATGCCCCCCTCCTCCACCATATTTTATATCTGTCACCTAAGCATAACAAGTCCATAATCCATGTTCTGCACCCATTTGCCATGATTGGGTAGTAAGGACAGAGTGGCAAAGGAAGCATGATGGTGGCACCTCATTGCCGGAAATGTCGCAGCCCATTTCCCATCAATAACTGTGTTCTAAATACAAGGACAGACCGCCAGCCTGCTATGTATTTGCACCAAGGGACCAGGTTCCCCTGAGGAGGCCACTATTCATTGCCTATTGAGCACTTTCACCCTCTTCTTCGTTTATAAATGATTCCATTCAGGTCTTGCAGGAAGGATCTGAGTAGACCCAGACAGGGTTTCTCAATCTTAAGACTACTGATCCCTTCCTTGGCGGCCTGCTGCTTTGTTGTGGAAGCTGTCTTGTGCATGCTCGCAGCATCCCAGGCGTTCCCCCTGCCCTAGTCAAACAATCAAAACTGTCTTTAGGCATTGCCACATGCCTCCTTTGGTGGCAAAATCTCTCCCAGTTGAGAAACTCTGCAGTTGACACAGAAGGGAATTTGACAGGATCCCAAGTAGCCCCTGGGAGAAGGGGCTACTTGGTCTAAGCTTGGAAAGTGGAGGCTGTTGGTTCCTGGCCAGCAGCTCCTCCTGGCAGGGATGCCCAGGCAGCCTGGTCTAGGAGGCATCAGCACAAAATCTACTCCCCGCTTCCACCTTAGATTCTTTGACACAGAAAGCTTTGAAGCTAATATTAGGGGCATCTTGATGGAGGCTCAGTGCCTCCCGCCCCGGCCTATGTGGCCATATCTTGCTCAGGAAATACCAGGGGAAGAAGGAACAACAGGCCTGGGCGCTTTTCCAACACTTGGTGCATCTGCTGCCCCCCATTGTCTTGCTCCCAATGGTGTTCTTCACAGAGGTGCAGGGCTATCTGCTAGGGAAGCAAAAGTGACCTTCAGTCAGCTGGTGGTGGCCTCCAGACCCATGGCATTCGTCATTTAGAAAGGCCATGAGCTCCCAAGGATTCCTCAGGGCTGGGAAGCTGAGGGGTGAGTTCTGCCCTCACCTGCAAGCCCACTCATTGTGCTTGTTCACCCACGTCTTCGCCTCTGGCCTCCTAAGATGCTTGGGCTCTTGCTCAGATTCCACCTGCATGGGGCCAGTTATCTAGTGAGTGCTGTGGGGTCAGTCTTCCTCCTTCCGTTTCTTGGTACTTCACCTGCCCCCAGGTCCCAGTTCTTCAGAGAAGCTTCCCTTGACTTCACCATGGAAAGTACCCCCAGCTATTTGGTCCTGTCAACTCGGGGGGGGCGGTGTGTGTGTGTGTGTGTGTGTGTGTGTGTGTGTGTGTTTAATATTATATGATATCTTTACTTATTTGTTTGACACTCAATTAAAAGTTAAGTTCCAGGGGCACCTGGGTGGCTTAGTGGGTTAAACCTCTGCCTTTGGCTCAGGTCATGATCCCAGAGTCCTGGGATCGAGCCCCGCATCGGGCTCTCTGCTCAGCAGGGAGCCTGCTTCCCTCTCTCTCACTCTGCCTGCCTCTCTGCCTACTTGTGATCTCTCTGTCAAATAAACAAATCTGAAAAAGAAAAAAAAATTAAGTTCCAGGAGAACAAGGACTTTGTCTTGATCATCTTTGTGTTGTCCTCAATGCCTAGATGAGGACTGGCACATAGTAGATGTTGAATAAATGCTTGGGAAGGAATAAATAAAAGAGGGGTTTTAATTAGGCATTGGAGTGCCCAGGACCAGTCTTCTTCCACATCTTACTCAATGTTCTCTGCCCTGGAGTGGCTTCTTCCCCTGTGTCCCTTGGCACCCAGTCTGTGACCATACAAATCACACACCCTGCACACCGCAAGCCATGTGCTGGGCCTTCTCCCCCATGTCTCTCGAGACCTCTGAATCCTTTTTTTCCCCACTTCGTGTTTCAGGAAACCAATTGTTTTCACTAGCTCCACACCGGACTTGTCCAAACCCCATGAATGTAGTAATCTTTGCCCCAGGGAGTGAAGGTCAGGAATAAAAATAAAACACATACCAGGGAGAAGGGCTGAGTTTATGGTATTCACAAGAACATCACATAGCTCAGCTCTCCTGTGACTCATTCATTTATTTTAATGATATCAGATAATGACAGTCTGTTGAATCAAAAAATGCACATTATTTATCCCATAATGGTGAAGTGGCACTATAACATTTTTTTAATAAAAACCATCTTAAAAGGTTTTTTTTTTTTTTTTTTTTTTCCTTAGAACCTATTGTGGAATTAGAGAAATAAGCTTTGCCAAGTGCCCTACTCTGTCTTTGCTTGTTCTGGCTAAGGGGCGTCTCTCACCCACTTTCCCCAAGTGTTTCCTTTGGTACCATCTAATCCAGACTGGAACATATGGATAAGTGCCCCCAAACCAGGCACTGCCCCAGTTTCCCAGCCATCACCCATCTGTTGTGGGGGAAGGATACTTTTCTGGCCACCTAGAAGGTATCACAGGGTATGTCTCAACCTTCACTCTTCCTGTGCTCACAGTGGAGCAGCAGGAAGAATGATGGCCTGGGTAGACACCTGAGTCTGTTCCTGCCTCTGGTGTTAATTTGTTGGATGATCTTGGTCTCTGGTTTAGACACTCTCTTTCTCTGATTCTCAGGTTAATCCCTCACCAGGGATTCCTTGAGCTCTGATACCTGTGAGTTTTGGGGGGCAGGTTCACTTAGGCTAGAGGCTTCTCCTCCCAGCAAAGGTGGTGGGGGGCTGCTTGGCCATAGGGCTCAATCTGTTGGTAGCTTTGTATCTGGTGGAAGGCGAGGTTAGCTCCCTCCTGCTCCTGGCCATTCCCAGGTTCCTAAGGGTGATTCTGGGGGATTTCCTCTTTCTCGGTCCCTAGGAAATCTCCCTCTCTTTCCTTGCGCCTCTTTCCCTTGTCCTATCCTCTTTCTGAAGCATTAGACTCGGGTTCCCTTCTGACATTGAAAACGCAAAGCCATCTTCTCCATGGGGCCTGTTGGCATGTCAATCACGGCAACAACCATAGCAGTAACAGCTTACATGAAAGATTTTTAGTTTACACTTTACAAGGAGCTTTTAAATACATCATCTCCTAACCATTTTAGGGTCCCTTGGTTGAGTCAAAGGGACTCTCCCTTCCCCTGAATCCTGCTCAGGAGGAAACCGAGCCCAAGCCCCCTTTCACATATGCCCGTCCCCACACACAAACACTGAACCATACTTTTAAGCATGCAAGTTACCTGACTGACCTCTTCCTGCTCTGGGGGACTAGAATTTAGCTGTTGAAATAAGAACATTTTAATCTGCGTTTGTTAGAGAAACTTCCTTTTGGGGAGCATTTTCTTAATCTTGGATTAGGCATTTCATACAGTCAGGGCTTGTAAAATTGAGGGGAAGTCTCAAAATTACCCTCAAGCCCCACTAAGACCCTGGCTGACCGCAGCTGGGCTCGGGGGTAGGTGCAGGGCAGGGCTGGCAGAGGCAGGGCTTGGATTCCTTGGGGGTGGCAGAGCGAAAGCTGGCAGCCTGTCAAGTCTTCCCAGAGAGTCAGGGACCCTGGGGCATGGCTCTCAAGACGGCAGGCTGAGTGGGCTTCATGTCACATGGAGAGAGGCTAGCTGCGAGTGTTGGTGGTAGAATAAGCCTAGGGTTTACCTGTGTGAGTGAGGTGGACTGAAGGCATGAAGGATGGGGAAGGGTACTGGGGAGATCTCAGGTTACCCCTTTCAGGACTCTGGAGCTACTGCAAAGACTTTTGGGACCTATCTGGAAATCAGCATTGTTTAGCTACAACAAACTCAAGTGAACAACTGGGAAGCCCCCAGAGCCATTTTGGGTGGCAGAGTGCTCTCTCCTCTTCCAAGACTGTCTCATCTTTGCCATCAATTCTCTTCCTAAAACAGACCTTGTCTTACTAGTCTCCTGCTAAAAAACCCTGCTGGGTCCCTGTGTTCTAGCCTGCCATACGTGGCTCTGACTGCTTGAACCCTTGCCTGAAGTTCCTCCATCTTATTTCTCCCTCCTTTCCCCTCCTCCTGGTCATCCCTTTCTTCTGTTCTCCCCCACCCATCCTTTCTTTCCTTTTCTCCTCCCCTCCTTGTTTGCCATTTGCCTTGTGCTCTTCCATCTTCCTTTTCTGCCTCCCTCTTGATTCTTAGACCCTTTGGCCCACTGTTGGTCCTCACAGAACCACTAGGCTCCTCTGGGGAAGCTCCATCCTGGAAGGTCCTTTGAGTCCCACATCACCCTCCCTCACACTTCTGCAGGGGAGGCCCCCAAGGGGCAGGAGGGATGAGTGAGAGACAAGGCATTGGGCTGAGCAGTTGAGACCCTGAGCGTCTGTACTAGTCTGAGGGAGCTGACAGACGGGCAAATCTCCATTGGGTGAGTTGCCTTTGCTCACATTCCCTGATCTATAACTCTCTAGAAGCTTTCTGGATACCGGGGGGAACAGAACCAGACTTGAACACAAGCAGGAAAAATAGTAGTAAAGAACATCTACTTTCTTTTCCTGGTAGGGCTTGTCTGATGAACTACCTGTGAATTTCTTATGTTTACGCTATTTAGAGAAGGAACCCAGAGCTTTGAGTCTGGCTCTTCTACTTATCAGATATATAGCTTCAGGCCAGATACAGAGCTTGAGAGAGGCGTGTTTGTCTGTGAAATGGGGCCGTATGGCTTTACCCTTCTTATGGGAGCAGGAATTGCACAGAGCAGGGATGGCACAGATGAAAACCGGTGCAGTACCGATACGTGTTGGAAAGTGTTGCAGATGGGCACGGCGTTGTGATGACAGCTCATGAGGGTGGCCTGGAGGATCAGGTGGCAGAGGCTTGTTTGTCCCATAGCCAGATTCTCCCAGCACTTTCCAGAGTTGGACATCTACCAGGGCTGTGGGCAGTCTGGGCTCCTGGCCTTCCTCATCCCCCTAGCCCTGGCTGCCTGCTCCCCTAGTCCTGCATTCCAATGTGAAATGGGCTGGAGAGAACAGGATGGTTCAGAACTTTCAAAGGAAGGGCCAGTGGTTGGGGCCTGAGGAGATGTCATTGACCCCTTCCATTGACTCACCTGGAGAGGGGCAGGAAAAGAGGCGGTGTTTTAAAATTTGGCAAAGCAGGCTCAGATGAAGCCTGTGGCAGAGTCTCCAACGACCCTGTGGTGGCAGGGAGGGCCAGCCAGGAGGGAGAAGAGGGGTCTGCAGGAGGGCCTGGGGCAGGTGGGGGCAGCGACTGTGAGGCGGAGGTGGCCAGGGTGCAGCGGCTTTTCCTGGAAGGATGGCCTTCAGCAAACAGGACTTAAAAGCTGGGTGCTTTTAGGGAAGAAAAAGAGAGTCATTAAAAGTAAGAAGAAACAAAGAAAAATCTTTTCCTTCTCTTCCTCTTATCATTCCTTTCCCTGAGCTCAGTGAGCAGGTCTTGGTTTCTGCTGACCTGAAACTGTTTCATCAGCATAAAAACTTCCTTCTTTCTCCTCGGACAGGCTATCACTTCTTTATTCTTATCCTTTTGTTTTAAAACATTTTTATTAGTCTTTTTTCTTAGAAATTTTAACAGCTGTTTATAAAAACCACAACAAATACACAGGACTTGGTAAAAATAACTCACTATATGGTACATATACTCAGACGGTGTGATATTTATATAATAAAAGATGAAAATAGTCACTTTCCATAATAAAAATAAGTTCTATTTTTTGTTTATTTTACAATATACTTAATATTCTCTTCTTCTGCTTTCTCTCCAGCTTCTACTTCTTCACCTCGACTCTCAAGGGGGTCCCCCACGGCTGTCCCAGCCCCACGAAGCTGGAGTCTGAGTGGTGGGGGGGCAGGTGGGCAGTCGGCCTTAGGAACACAGGCGGCAGCCGCACTCGAGGTGTCTCTCCACCTCCTCGACGAATGAGGAGCCGTCGGTGCACTGGAAGACGTATTTCCGCCGCTTGCTGCGGGTGGGTTGACAGCACTGGGGCCCACAGCCCCCACGACATTCCATGATGGGCACTTTGGAGGCCGTGGCACACGAGGCATAGCCCTTCTGGCGGCGGATCACCTCTCGGACCACCTCCCCCAGGCATAGGTTCTCTGCAGAGGGCAGAAGAGGTAAGGTCAGGGCCTGGGTGGTACAGATGACTGGCCGGGGGCCATTCCTGGGCCGGCTGTCGGCGAACATTGGTGGCCTGAAGACCCTTTGTACTTCTTCACGCGTCCTTCCACCTGCCTGTCCACGAACCCATGCAGCTGTTGCACAAATACGGAGTGCTTCTTCTGGGCCTGCCTTGCTGCTAGATTTACAACTAAGGCCTGAGCATTTCCTGGTGACAACAGCAGGCCCTGTCCTTTCCTTCAAGGAACTCAAACACCACAGTAGATGTGGCCAAGTAGTAGGCTACGGGCTAAATCCTGGCCCCAGGTTTTGATTGTGCCACCTAGACTTAGAAACCAAATGTCACCATTAAAAACCCCACAAGATCAATTAAATACTGGGATTTCTGGCTTTGCCGAAAACCAGGAAGTCTCTAGTTTTGCCCAGTGCCCACTGGTATAGAGTTGAGATACTAATTCTCTCCTCCCTGAAGTGAATGTGTGGTAAGGATAAACTGAGATGGGGGCTACGGAACTGAACAGGGCAAGGCGTTGGATGGAGTCTAGGGCTGTGTCTCGGGGACCTGCCGTGGAGGGGGAGCTGAATGAGGAGTTAATGAGCCCCGATAGCAGCCTGAATCTTCCACGCCCTGCCAGACTCTCTGTGTGGACACTGGGAGGAGGTCTAAAGCAAGGCCCTGAGGAGAAGGAGGAGCTCAGACCCCCAGCCCTGCAGCCTGATCAAGACGCTGGTCATCCCTGAGCCACTCTCCTTGTCTGGAAGACGGTGACCCATTTCCCTGTTCTTCCTACTGCTTCACAGGTTATGAGCCTCAGAGGAGACTGAATGAGAAAGGGTTCTATTCATTTTAATGAATTTTGGTAAGCATGATGTAACAAGCTCATAATTTAAAAAAAAATTACACGTTAGTGCCTGTGTGTACAACGTGGGGTGGTGGGCGAGAGCCCATGTGGCAATATGGTCATTGGGGAATCTGGTGACAGGAGTGTGAAAGCTATTTTTTGACAAGTTTTCTGTTATATTTTGAAATAATCTGAGATTTATTTCTTAATAAAAAATTTCAAAACCTGGTCTGTTTTGGTTGAGAATAGTATTGCAACTAGGTATAAATGTGAGAGTACTTTAGAGACCGAGGGGTCTGCCTAGAAATCTGGGCCCAGGGAGGAAGACTTCTTTTTTTCCATGCAGGAAAAAAAGCCCTCCTGGGGGAGGTAGATTTGAATTTTAATACAGTTCAGTTTTAATTTTCCTATTTTTGAGCTTATTTCAAAATGAACAAACTCCACGGGTCAAGGTCACGGAGGAGGGGAAGGAGGAGGGCTTGGATCCCTGGGGTTGTGGGGCTAGTTACACCGCAGTGGACAACTGCTTCAGAGAGGGAGGGCGTTCCCCCATTTCCAAGATGAAGGTGCAAGAGCATGTAGCCTCTGGGCTGGAACTGGACTGTCGGCGGGCTGGAGCTACAGTCTAGCGCTGCCTCCCGTGGCCACCTCCGGTCCCCCCCCACCCCATGCACAGTGAACCCACCTTGCTCACAGTGCTCCCCACTAAAGCCAGGCTGGCACAGGCAGAAGGGCTCCCCTCGATCGGAGAAATGGCATTGCCCCTGGTGACACTTGAAGGCAGAGCAGGCGTTGGAGTCATTCTTGTGATCACACGTGGCCCCGCTGTAGCCTTCTGCACACTTGCACACGTACGAGGTCCCGGTTGGCACACATTTCCCGTGGTTGCAGCTGTTGGCAGAGGACAGAATGAGAAAGGGGAAGGCAGAGCACTGCAGAGGTTTTTTCTGTCCACCGCAGCCGAGGCCCAGGCTCAGAGCGGGTCCTCGTAGGTCTCCATCCCCTAGTCTGCCCTCTGCTAGCTCAGGGGCTGAGCAGCAGCATCCGACCTGCTGGAGGCTCAGATCGCGCCAAGTCCGCTGCCAGCTGTGGCCACGAGGCTGGCTGGCTTGCCACCTCCCCTCTGCAAGTGGCAGGTACTTGCTCTGAAGCAGCTAAGCGTTCTCTAAATGTTGTAACTGCTCTGGCATCTTAATTGATAACAATGTCACGAGTGTACACCCTCCCCGCAGCGCCTCCCACCTACCCACAGTGGTGCCAGGCATGGGGATAAGTGCTTTACACCTGACAGCATTCTTACCTTCTACAATCCCCTCTCCTCTGTGGCTTTGATGCTGCACCTAGTCTTACCCACATCTCTGAGATGGAGAAACTGATGCTGAAACTCACCGTCATTCCACTTGACGGAGATAGCTGCTCTCAGCAAGGTGCTCACACACTGTCTCTAAGGGGGACCTGCTGTTGGCTCTGTGAGCTCTTGCCCGCTTGAGCAGTCACACTGACATGGGTTCTGGGGACCGTCTGACCACAGTCCTTCCAGCTTTCCTCAGTGCTGCTTCTTGGGCAGGGAAGGGCTACAGGCAGGGACTGAGTCCGTGTGGGGAGCCTGGGCTCGCAGGGCACTGACCTGTGGCCCAGACAGGGGTCCCGGACTTCCTGGTCGCACAGTGGGCCGGTCCAGCCCGGGCGGCACTCGCATACCACGCTGTCCTTCTCCACGGAGTGGCACAGGCCATGCTTGCACACGATGCAGGACTTGCAGCCCGGGGACACTCCCAGGGCCTGTGGCGGGAGGGCCTTGAAGTCTTGCAGCTCGTTGTTGATGCGCACCTCATGGATGCAGCCGTGGAAGCCGCCCAGCGGCCGGTCTGTGCCCTGGCGCAGGGCCGAGAGGCCCGTGGAGGTGGGGATGCCTGTGGGAGGGGTGCCAGGACAGCTGCCTGAAGACCCTCCCCTGCCCACCAGCCCCTCTGAGCGTGAAGGAGGGCTCCGGGTGCTCAGAGTTGAACGCTCACAGCTCTGAGCATCTGCTGTTCAGATGGAGGGAACGGACCAAAACCTGGGCCCATAGCCACACAAGGGCTCCTAGCCTTTGTCCTGTACTTTAACTCTTTAAAAAACATGAATTTGCTGCCATCATTTTAAGTATAGAAAATTTCCCCCCAAAACCCTTACTTCAAACTTCTTTAGAAAAAGAAGGTCTGGCTCATCACAGGGCCACACCTGCTGGACGGAGGAGGACCACCCCCTTCAGGCAGGGGAAGGAGGGTGTATCCCATTCCTCTGCTGTCCCCACCAGACCTCCCCTGCCCCTTGTCACGGCCCCACGGAACATAGGGTGGGAGAGCTAGAGTTTGGGAGACAAGGGATTTGGGGGAGCAGCCTTGCTCTGTGGAACTTTGGGGATCTCCAGTGGGGGAGAAACTGTGTCCTTTCTGGGACTGATCTTGATGGAAGGCTTTCTCTGGGCCCCTGGCACCTGGATCAGCTGTTAACAGTACGGACTCCTGAGCCTTTTAGAGGGGTCTCCTCGGCAGGGAGGCCTTGGGAATCTCTTTGTTGAACAAGCTACTCTGGTGACTTTTTTTTCTTTTGCACATAACCCTTTGAGAATTACAGGCCCTGGGCTGCGTTTCAGGCCCAGGCTCTGCCAGACAGATGGCTACTTCCTTTTCGGCCTTTGTATGACCTTCATCTCAAACGTGTACTACATATGTCACCTGAGCCACACAGTGTTTGACGTGGTGGCAGAGCAGAGGGAATGTGACCTGAAGTCTGTGGATAGTAGGGCCTGGATTTGACCTCCCATTTCCTCCCACCCCTTTCCATCTTCACCTTTTCCCACCATTCCCATCATCTTTGTCCCCTGAACCACTTGTAGTTCCCCGGAAGGAGCCTATATTCTCTCCTTCTCCTCCTCGCCATGATCTGCCTATTTGATTACCCTTTAGGGTAATCAGCTTGGTTGTCACTACCTCCAGGAAGCCTTTCCTGATATGCTTTGGCAGTGGATGGTGAGATCGGGAGAACCCTGGCCAGTAGGCCGGGGTGGGTGCCCAAGCACAGAGGGTGGGTGGGAGGTGGAGGTGATGGGGATGGGAGGGGAAAAGGGCCTTACCTCCGAGGTAGAGGGGGCTGTTGATGCCTACTGCTGGCTGCTTCTGGAGCTTTCCCAGGCTCTTGGGGGCTCCTTTATCCACCACCAGGTTCAGGGTTTGGTTTAGCATCACCAGCTCCACACTGTGAAACTGCCCATCATTCACAGTCTCCACACTGGGCAGGAGAGAAGGGGCGAGAATCAGAGGGTTTGCTGGGTGCCTCCCCACAGCCAGGCACTGGTCCATGAACCTGGCCAGCATTCCTAGCATTTTTGTTTTATTTTTCATTTGGAAATAACTTCCAACTTAAATAAGTTGCAAAAGTAGAAACAGTACAGAGAATACTTCTTAAACCCATAGATTCTCCTATTAGCCCCACTTGCTTTATCATGAATTTTCTGTCTCCATATCCATCTATCTCCATAGACATGCATACATGTAGATGTATATACATATATACACTCTGAATCCTTTTAAAGTTACATACCTTTCCCTTATCCCAAAATGCCTCAGTGTGCATTTCTTAAGGACATGGATATTCTCCTACGGAAGCAAACTGCAATTTTCAACTTTGGTAAATTTAACATTGGTAACATACTTGTATCTACTCAGGCTGGATTTTAATTTTTCAGTGGATCCAGTAGTACCTTTATAGCATTTTCCCCCCTTCCAGTACAAGAGCCAGTCTACGACCATGTCATGCATTCAGTTATATTACTTGCATTTCTTTCTAGAATTTTACAGAGTTAAGCAAACTCATCCTCAGACCGCCTTCTCAATATTTGCTCTATGGCATGCCACTAGGACCATTATTAACGTGTTTTTCTTCAATTGCTCCATTTCCCAACATAAGCATCAGTAAGGATATAAAGCTAGCATTGTTCTAAGGACTCCTGCCCATGAAAAGAATATTTCAGGGTGATTTATATTTTTCCTAGTACATATGAAAAATAAAGGCTCTCAATTAAAGTGTCAATAGTTTGTGCCATCTAATTCATCTCCTGCACCTCCAGCAGTATGCTGACCATAAGTGGATTAGTAATACCGCATAACACTGCTTCACATGTTTACAGCATTACAGAAACGAGGAAAGAGGGGTGCCTAGGGGGGCTCAGTTGGTTAAGTGTCTGCCTTCGGCTCAGGTCATGATCTCAGGGTCCTGGGACCAAGCCCTGCGTCAGGTTCTCTGCTCAGCACAGAGTCTGCTTCTCCCTCTACTCCCGCCATAGGTACTCTCTCTCTGCCCCCCCTCATAAATAAATAGATAGATAAATACATAGATAGATGATAGATAGATAGATAGATAGATAGTTAAAATCTTTAAAAAAGACAAGGAGACAGAAGGTCAGGGAGTTCAAATAATGCTCCTAGGTCCCCACAACTAGAGCAGGACTGTACACTGAGGTCCGTCTAGCTTCAAAGCCCACACATACGCTCCTTTCCTGCGTTGCCTCCCTCAGTCCCAGCAGCCCTCAGTGAGGGCTCATGAGACCTCGAGGTGCAAGAGCCAGGCATCGTGCTGAATGGCTCTCTGCTCTTTTTGGACCCTCACCATCATTCTGTCAAGTGGCATCAGATACCCCATTTCACAGATCAGACCAATGAGGCCCAGAGAGGTGAAAGGATTTGTCTAAAGTCATCCAGCTAATATGTTCCAAAAAGAGAATGCATAGGCAAAACTTTTGACCCCAACGTTCTGCTCTTTCTGCTATTCGATCCTTGGCCGGGGCTGGGAGGGAGCCTTGAGTGCAGGTGACAGGCATTTGGAAATACCGTACTCTTTCTTTGAGCCTTCAAGTGGAGAGGGAGCCTCTGCACTCACCACCGCCATCTGACTGGAGAGGGCAGAGTTCAGCTGCCTCCTCAGCCCTTTTTGACTGAAGGGAGTTTCAGCAGAGAGGAGAGGAAAATACTTGGGGGAAGAGAGGCTCACGTAGGGGGTAGTGGAGAAAGCAGTCTGTCCTAGCCCCTTCCTTGGCGGCCCCGTAACCACTCAGAACCCCTCTGGTCTCAGTCTCCTCATCTGTAAAAGGGGGAGGACAACCTGACAGAATTAGCGTGATGAGCGAATCAGAGGAGGTACTTGAAGGTGCTTTATAGACTGTAAATCACTGGGAAAATGTGACCATCATCAGTAGTGTTGGCTGGTCTGTTAACAGCAGCAGGAACCCACCATTGCCTGCAAACTAGCGACTCCTGCTCTTATGCTGCTGATTTCTGTGAAAAAGTGCTGGTTGAGGGGGACATGCAGGGGCGCAGGACCCTCCCAAACCCATCATGACCGTTCTCTTCTCTCCCATCCATCCATCCTCCATCCATCATCTACCCTTCCAGCCGTCCGTCTTCCACCTGCTGGATGTCTGCTCTGAGCCACACTGTCCCAGGTGCTAGGGATCAGTGGCAAACAGGACAGACGCTCACAGAGCTCACGACCAATATGTCAGCGTACGGGTAGGTCAAGAAATAGGGCAACAGGGGTGGAGTGGTAGCTAAGAGTCCACTGGAGGATCTCATTTGTGATGGGGAGCCAGGAAGTCATAAGAAGATAGAGCTGTTCTAGTCCAGCAGCTTCTAACTACTCTAAGTAGTGAGCTGAGGAAAAGGGTGAGACCCGTGCTCCCGCAGATGAGTTGATGGTGGGTGGGGGGAATGAGGCCCGTGTGTGGAGACTACAAGCTTCTGACCTGGAGTCCGAACACAGCTTTTAAACATACATGCAAAAACATGCAGCTGTGTCCCCAGACCATCTGGTAAACTGACGCTGTCCTGAATGAGCTCCCCATCCCTGAGCCACGTGACTAACTCTGGGCAGCCACCTGTCAGAGATGGAGCTGTAGAGAGGCCAGAGCTCTGGGTGGGTGGTCTTGGCATTCCCTTCTGACTAAAATTCAGGGAGTCTGAGGCAGCTGTTATAAACACACAGACACAGTGAACAAACACACACCACTAACCCCTTCCTGGCCACGGGCGCCAAGCCTGTTGCTTGCTTCCTTCCTGGGCTCCATGTGCTGGCCCAGGCCCTGGCACGCCTTCGCTGAGGGCCCCAGCCTGGAGACAGTGGTTTGGAAGGAGCCGCAGGAGCAGAGAGCACGTGAGGCCACCCCCTACCCCCGCCCCCGAGTAACTGCTAGGCTCCCCAGTGCCCCAGCTGTTTGGGTCTGTGGAAGGCCTCCTCTGATTCCCACAAGGGGAGTCCTAGGCAGGCCCCTTCCTCCTGCTATAGTCTTCTGCTAGTTCATGCTCGGGTGTTGGAGAGATCTGCTCTCACACGGGCCTTCCAACTGAGGTACCCTGGGCAAATCCCACCACTCTGTAGACCTGAGGTTCCATTTCCACACTCCAGCAATGGCACAGAGGTCGACCTCGCCATGCTCTGATGGACAGCACATGGTTCCTGATACCTAGCAAGCACTCAAAGGTAGAATGATGATCTCCTCCACCCTGACCCTGGGCTTGGAGTTGGGTGTGGCAGGAGGGACCAAGTCGGGGAGCAGGTTCATGGACCCTAGAAGAGCTCTTCTACCTTCCAGCTGCCCAGGGCTTTGGGTTTCTGTTTCTGCTGGCTAATAACCATCTCTGAGGAAGGCACTCATGAGCCCCGCTTTACAGGGAGGGAACCTAAATAACTTGACCAAGGACACATTGCTAGGAGGTGGGAGAAGTGAGGTTCAAAGTCAGGGCTTGTTCCAAAACCAAATCTCCCATAACCTGTGCCAGCAGGGGCTCCTGGGTTAATAGGATGCCTTCCTGGTACATTTCTGTTAGGGTCTCCTGGAGGTGATGCCTAAAGCCAGTGGTTTTCAGACTGCAGGTCCCTGGAGGTTTGGGGTAGGTGGTGCTACAGGCTCTGATTATCCACCACCATCTCATAAATCAGGATGGCTTCATTTCTTCTCACTGTTTTTTCCTTTGTAATCTTGGCCCTTGAAGTAAATGAGAAAAATGGCTCTGCTGCTCTAAGAAAAAAGGTTGGGGTAAAACAGACTAAAACCCCAAAAAGCAACCCGAAACTATCTGCTGTTAACTCTAAAAGAAAGGATCCTACTAAGGTTTCAAGCCCCATAATTAGTCTCCTGGAGAGAGATGTAGGGATTACAGGAGAGACAACCGGGCTCTGAGAGTCTTCCTCAGTGACCACTGGGCCAGAAGAACCAGCACCACATGGGAGGTGGAGAGCACTGGACGTGTCAGAGCTAGCTGGGTGGCTCCTGTCTGGGAATGGCATGAGGACACTTAGAGTTCTCCTACTTCCTCCTTCCCTCTTCCTTTCTTCTTTCCTTTCTTCCTTCTCTCCATCTCTCCCTCCCTCCCTCCTTCCTTCCTCCTCCTTTCTTCCCTCCCTTCTTTCCTTCATCCATCCTTCCTTCCTGCCTCCCTCCCCCCTGCTTTTTTTAAAGTAGGCTCCTTGCCAAGGTGGACTCACAACCCAGAGATCAAGACCCGAGCTAAGATAGAGACCTGAGCTGGGATCAAGAGTCAGATGTTTAACTGACTGAGCCACCCAGGCGCCCCCTCTCCTGCTTTTAATACCAATAGCAGGCACGTGTTCTGTGCTACTCTGTGCTAAGCACTTGACCTGCATTCTCTCACTCAACCCTAACAACCCCCACAGGGGAGGTACAATTTTTTTTTTCCTTTTAGAGATGAGGCCTAAGGCTCAGAGACTTAAGGTGTTCAGCTCACAGTCTTAAAGTGGAAGTGGTGGAGGCAAGACTGAAACCCAGGATCCTAAGCCACAGGACCCTACTCCACGGTGAAATGAATGAATCATCATTCCTCCAGGTACTGGGCATGTTCACCTGGATGCTGAGTTGTGGCCACTAGGTGGCGACAGAGCCTCACAGGACCAAATCGTCCCTTAAGTGGTAGCCTGAGACATCAAGACCACAGGGCAGTGACACCAGCCCCCTGCCCTGCCCCCCCAACTCCTCGACTGTGGCTACATGGTATTTCTCTCTCTCTCTCTCTTGCCCTGGCCGTCATGCCTCAGCATGATGGAAAAGTGGGTTCTGGTGGGAACCTGACTTGGGTTTGACTCTGCTCTGCCACTTTACTGGCTTGTGTGCTATGGGGCCAAAGACTTCATCTGAGCACTATGCAGCTCATCCCTAAAATAAGAGTGATGACGCTTGCCCGGGACTTGTGGGGAGGGGCAAGGGAGAAAAAGACCTTGGCAGTGGATGGGACTATGGTAATTAAGACTCAGGGAGCTTGCACAGTGGGCTAAACAGAGTTGCCTTGTGGCCCACATTTAAACACTGAGAGCTATTTCACATAGAAAGCCTGGGTTTCTAGCTTCTCTTAATGACCTGCATTCCCACATGGCAGCATCTGCTGGAGCTGAGGTCAGCAGTCCCTTTGGATAAAGCCTCTGCTCTCCAGGCTACCACAGTCCACTTTCCCAAGTCTGTTACCTTACTTGGCCCCTTGGCCTCGCTGGTAGGAAATAATGCCTGAATTCCCTCTGACAAGTCTCAGAACTCAGCAATAGTGCAGCCTGTTCCCATTCTGGGGCAGGTAGGGGCTCAGACAGGCTTTACTGTGTGTTTGCCCTAGAGCCCGGGGTAGGACCTTGAAGTACAGCACCCCCAGCTGTGACTACAGCTGGGCAGATGAAAAAAATCAGGCACCCCCATGATGGCGGCCCAGAAAGCAGCTGCTCCAGGCCTACAAATCCCTGCTGGGGGTGCTAACTTCTCATTCTCACTGGGGGCTGTCCATGGGGCCTCAGTGGGAAGAATTTTGCAATCTGCCAATTCCCCTGATTAAATCAGCTTTGGTTTGACACCCTGACCCTGAGGCTGAGGAGGCCTTCCTAGGTGGCCAGAGGTCACCACAGTGACTCTGTGCTCTCCATTAACCCCAGCCCCTAAGCATGGCTTCTTTGCATACTGACGGGGTCTCCCCCTGCCCAGGGCCTTCTCACTTCTCCGCCTGTGGAAATGCTTGTCAGCCCCAGCTCCAGCCTGAGCTCAAATGTTACCTCTTCCTCCAGGGAGCCTTCCCCGGTTCTCTGAACAGAAATGTCTGTTCCTTCGATGTCCCATAGCATGTGCCAGCGTCTTCTGGGAGACCTCTTTAATTCTGTTTCTGTGACTATTGTTTGTTTCTACACCTGCTTTCTTTTCTGGACTGTGTTTTGTTTAACTCTGTGTCCCCCATACCTAGTGCAGGGCCCGGCCCACATGAGGTGCCTGAGAGATGTTTACTGAGTGAAAGAGCACACTGCTGGGGCACGGTGGGTGCTGCCTCCGAGAAGCCTAGAAACAAACCCATTTTAAATACAGGATTTCTGGAGACTTGGGTCCCTTAGGATTGTGAGTGGCAGGACACTAAGGGTCTGTCCCTAGGCTTGCCACGCAGACCTAGGCATGGGCATCCTTTATTGGGTTTGTCCCACGGGTAAGAGAAAGAGCCTGGGGTCTCCCTGGGGCCCTGCACTAGCCCTCAGCCCACGGGCTCCCTGACGAGGGCTGTAGGAGAGAATTCTCTAGCTTCCCATTTCATTCCTCACATCCCGAGTCAGGCATTAGCAAAGGGTTCCAGCATTCTCACCGACAACATCACCCCTTAACAGCTCATGTCAGTGTGGGGCATGGGCTCCCAGCTCTGGACAGAGCCCAACCTCTCCTGAAGCCTTCTTCTGCGACACCTTCTGTCTGAGACATGCCCATGTCAAGGCTCAGTTTGCCAAGCACCTTCGCACCCCCCAGCCCTCAACAGCACCCCCCAAAATGAATCCTGCGATTATGCACAGTGCACAGGGGAGGAAAGAGACGTTTCCAGAGTGTGTGAAAGAGCACTTTACTGGGGCACCACCAGTCTTGCCACAGAGAAGACTGTTTGGAAACAAACTCATTTTAAATATAGGCTTTCAGACGTGTGTGACACCACAGGCCTATGACCATGACCAGTGGCTCCAAGAACACAGACGTTGGGAGGCCCTGACTCTAGGGAACTCTTGAGGCCATTGAGGTGAGTTCCTTCTCCTGGTGTCCATTGTAGCCCACCGTCCTAACCTGCCTGGGGTTCCCTCCACCCACCCTCTGCTGTGTACCTTCTGTCTGGTCCAGCCCTTTGTACTGTCCCTTAGGCTTGTCATTGCTCTTCTTCCGGCCTGCTCGCCTACCTGCTCTCCCTGCTCATGTAAACTCCACCCTTTCTTCAAGACCCATCACAAAAGGCTCTTCCTCCAGGAAAGCTTCCTGTGTAAGATGCCACTTCTCAGACTTGTGTATCGAATCACCTGGAGGCTCCTTGAAACTGATGGTTGGGTCCTAGCCCAGAGCTTGTCAGTAGGCGCGGGATGAGGTCTGAAAATGGGCATGTCTGACAAGTTCCTGGCTGCTGCTGCTCTGGGACCCCACTTTGAGAACCACTGGTTTTAAACCAATGGTTTTCAACTGGGCTTGCTGGGAGTTGTTTTGGGGGCCTTCATGAGAGTAAGTATGAGGGAAGAAACTTTGCTCCCTCTCAGCCCTGTGGGACAGTTTTGCTTCTGCGTATTTAATATTTTGATTTCAGTATAAAGTTGTGACTGCATAACTGACTTAGCCCCTGGGAAAAAAGTCTGTCAACTGTTACCCGTCCCCAATCCCAGTGAACGTGCACCGGCTTCTAGAGGGGAAGGCTGGCCTCCAGATGTGGTCTCTCTCATATACGTGCTTTCCCCCCCAAGAAATGGTTCTCCTGCCACCGACAGTTTTTATGTGATTTTAGGTGTAACACAAATATTTCTCATTTTAATCGTGATTTTTGTAATAATTACAAAAATATAACTAAAATAATTTATTAGTTTAGTATTTATTTTACTGAGGAGTAGAAAAAAAACTAACACTGAACTAGCATATCTGTAATTTCACCAATGATATGACTTAAGATGAAGCTGAAAGGAAAGAGGGCGCGGATTTAAAAGCTGATGTAAAGCAGCCTGCTATGGAACAGGACAGCTGACGTGCCGTATTTTTATAGTTTTACAGAAAAATCAGGGTGACTGTTGGAAAGACTGAAGTTTAGGGAAAAACCATCCTTCAGAACAGTTTGAAAGTCACTTAAGGAAGAGTCCTGCTCCCTTGTGCTCTGGGATGTCTTCCCCTTGAGTTGCAAGCTAATCTCCCCCTGTTTTCTTTCTTAAACTAATAAAAGATTAGGATGACATTTTGAAAAGGGCAGCTCATTAAGCAGCCTCATCCGCATTGGCGCGCGTGCTCCTGCACAGTAGCCAGCTGGCCATTTATCTTATGGTGATGAGGTGTCATCTCCCCACGGGGGTCGGCCTTCATGGCCTGCCTCTTCCTCCAGTATCGCCCCTCCCCTTCCCGCCCGCAGCTCCGAGCTGGGGAAAGTGGGGTGGGGGGGGCGCGGGGCGGGCAGGGAGGAGCGGCTTCAGAGCGGCCCCTGGCCTCTCCTCTCAGGGCTCAAGCCTTGGCAGGCGGCGCTGTGGTTCTTACCTGTACACCGTGGTGGGTGGGGAGCTCAGACTGTCATAGACAAGCCTCACGTGGCCCTGGTACAGCTCCAGCGCCAGGGGGTCATTGTCTCCCTTGTAGAGAAGGATGCCATTGTCCTTGTCCGTGGCCACCTGGAGAGAGGCATGTGGGTTAGGGCTCCCCTGAGGCCTAGCCTCCCCAACCCCGCCCTCACAGAGACCTCTTGCAGAGGGCATCTTCTGGATGAACCCCAGATCTGAATCCACGTCCCCATTTCCTCCTCTGTCTAGTCTGGGAGTTTCCCCGAGCCAGACACTGACCCTCCAGCAAGTGCTGATGGAGCAATTCAATTCAGTAACTATTTACTGAGGACCCACTATGTGCCACTTTATTTATGTACAGAAACATTAGATTATTACATATAAGATATATATACATATACATATGCATATAACATATATATAATATATAATCATGTATTTTATTGTGTGTGTGGGTGGTGGGGGTTGGGTCAGGAGCCTTGAGTTCTAATTGCCTCTCCCAGCAGCATACAATGTGATCCCACCCAAATCCTTGCTCCCCTCAGGGCCTCAGTCTCTCTGTATAAAGTATGATAATAATCATGAACAAAATGCTAACAATGGCCGTTGCATTCAGTGTTTACTATGAGCGAGGCACTGTGTTAAGAGTCATCTGGGGAATTTTTAAAAAACACCTGTGTCGGGGCGCCTGGGTGGCTCAGTGGGTTAAAGCCTCTGCCTTCGGCTCGGGTCGTGATCCCAGAGTCCTGGGATCGAGCCCCGCATCGGGCTCTCTGCTCAGTGGGGAGCCTGCTTCCTCCTTTCTCTCTGCCTGTCTCTCTACCTACTTGTGATCTCTGTCTGTCAAATGAATAAATAAAAAAATCTTTAAAAAAAAAAAAAAAAAAAAAACACCTGTGTCTAGGCTTTACCCCAAATCAACTCCAGATGAATCTCTGGGGGGCGGGGCCCAGGCAAAGATAATTTTAGGAGTTCTCCAGGTGATTCTAATGTGGTGCCTGGGGCGGAGAGCCCCTGGTTTCAGAGGCTGCTGCCCAGAGGGCACCGTGCTGCAGGGATGGGATCCTCTGACCAGCCTGTCCGCTCCCACCACCTAGCACAAGGGCAGCCTGAAGGACTGGAAACAGAGCAGATGGTCTGACGGGACCTCCGGATGTTTGCGGCACGGGCTAACTGGGACCCAACATTCAGGTGCCTGGGTTCGGTGGGACAGAGAGGGGAAGGCAGGAGGGCAAGGAGGAGAATGCAGGAGAGGCCGACGGTAGCCAGAGCCGCCGCCTCCTTGTGAGTGCCCAGGGTCAACCCTCATCTCAGAGGCCTGCCCGCTGCACTGGGTGCTCCAAAAGCCAAGGCAGTCTGAACGCTGTGTGTTTCTGCAGTCCCACCACTGCAAGGGGCCTGGACACAAAGGCACTCAACAGATCTGTGTTGAATAAATACTTTTGCCATAAGCTTAAAGCTGGGTCAGTGTGGCCATTAAGCGAAAGGAGAGCAGGGCCCTAGTTAGTGCCACGTGGCAGGGGGCAGCTGGCCTGCATCCCTTTGCTGTGTCTCTGGGGTTCTTCTTCCCCAGCAAGCCGATAGGCAGGGGCCTGTTGCGTCTCAACCCCATTCCATCCCCGTTCCACACCTCTCAGAAGCATTTAGGTCACGCAGAGATGCATTTTGGAATAAATGTGCTTGGGTCCACAGGTAAGAAACTTGAAAGAAGTTAGCTGGAAAAGAATTTGGTTCCTACTAAATGTTTTTCCATTCCCTAAAAAATGCCCCGAGTGTTTGTGCCTCTGCGCCTTTGTACATACTGATCTCTCAGGTGAAAAGGGCATCCCCTCATCCTTCTAGCCTTCTCTAGGCAAACCCCTACTCATCCTTCAGATCTCAGTTTAGTTATCACTGTCTCTGGGGAGCCTTCCTCATTCTTCCCAGCAGGTGAGGATCTCTGTTGTGGGAGCCCCTGGGAGCACCCACGCGCTCTCACAACACCCAGGGCTGGCACCGGCCCTCTGTTTGTCATCTTTCTCTGGACAAGGGGCTCTGTCTGTCTTGCCCACCACCAAAGCCCCATTGCCAGCACAGTGTCTGACATATAATATTTGAGTGATTATTTTCTGGGTAAATGAATGGATGTGGCTGGGAATGGGGGCTGCCATTTGCGGTGACAGCCGGTCAGGAGTTGTCCTAAGAACAGCAGTGGTTCTCAGAATGGTCGGACGGAACCTGGGGGCATGCTGGGGAGAGGCGCACCTGCAGGGAGATGTTGGCCTGGGGCCGGACCTTGGCGGAGGCTAGTTCCACGTAGGAGTCTTTGCCCACAAAGTTGACGGTGATGAGCTTCTCGCACCTCGGGCCGGCAAAGCCTGGGGGGCAGCGACAAGTCGGCTCCTGCTGTACCACGATGCACTGGGCCCCATTCTGGCACTCGTACTGGTCACAGGGACTGGTCTGAAGCAGGACCATGGGTGGGGGCTGCTCACAGAGGAGCCCGCTGGGAGGAGGGGAGAGAAGATGGAAGAGGGATGAGGGGAGGACAGTGAGAGGAGACAATCAGAGTTATTTTGCCCAGAGGGCCACTAACAGAGAGAGGAAAAAAAGATGGGAACTGGGGCTTGTTCTAGCCCTCCCACTAACTGGGAAAAGTCCTTTTCCTTCTCTAAGCCCCCATTTCCCCATTTTTACAATAACGGGGTTGGAGAGTGCTGGTCCCCAAATTTCAGTGTCATCAGAATCTTCTGGCATAAATTTGTTAAAAGCACAGATTCTCACCCATCAACAGAGGAATGGCCAAACAAAGGTAGCACATACATATAATGGAATATTATTCAGCCTTAAGAAAGGACATTCTGACACCTGTTACAGGTGGATGAACCTTGAGGATGTGAAATAAAGCAGTCACAAAAATGCAAATACCATATGTTCCACTTACACGAGGTACTTAGAGTGGTCAGATTCATGGGGTCAGAAAGTAGAATGGTGGTTACCAGGGGCTGTAGGGAGGGGGAGTGGGCAGTTAGTGTTTAATGCATGTAGTTTCAGTTTTGCAAGATTAAAAAAGTTCTGGAGACGGACGGTGGTTGGCTTACTTGATGCTACAGAGCTGCACACTTAAAAATGGTTAAGGCGGAAAATTTTACATTACATGTATCTCACCAGAATTTAAAGACATTAAAAGAGGAGGGTATGTGCTATGGTGAGTGCTGTGAAGTGTGTAAACCTGGTGATTCACAGACCTGTACCCCTGGGGATAAAAATATATTATATGTTTATAAAAAATAAAAAAATAGTCCAAAAAAAAATAAAGACATTAAAAGAGAGTGCAGATTCCCAGCCCCTTCCCCCCCCCCCCCAATTCCAGCTTAGTAGCTGTGGGGTGGGGCTCAGGAATGTCTATTTTCACAAGCCTCATGTAGATGGTCTCAATCAGGCTTTGGAAAAACCAGACTTCTTCATGATTCCTTCTCAGAGTCTGTGACCAAGGGTCATTTGCATGGTTGTGCTTATGCCATGTGGCAAGTACTAATGTATACGGAACTTTCCCCAAACTGACCCCCCACCACCTTAAGTCTGGTCCCTGGCGCCCCTTCAGCGCCCCCTGTACCTTTCCATTCCAGTCAGTGTGGGCGCTAGGGCTGGTACCCAGCGTCTCCGTCCACATACCCCAAGGACCTCTCCTAACCACCTGCCAGTGCCTCCCATTCCCTCTTTCTCTTCCTACTTCGCTGATTCCAGTGATTAACCCCAAGCTTTCCCATTTACCTCCATTTTTCTACCATTAGGGTACAAAAATGCTTTTGTTCTCTAGCCTAAAAAGAAGATCCCCGCCCGTGTGACCATGTGACTACCCCACCGTGTAAGCTGAGCTCCAAGACGGTAGCATCTTCTGTTGGAAGGAATCACGCCCAAGCTTGACATCACGTGAGCCGCATCCTAAGTCCAACTCCCGCACAGTTGCCCTGGATGGCTCTCCTGTCTATTACATGGGCTTAACAGCATCTGCTCTCAGACATGGAAGGGCTGACCTTCCAAGGACACCCAGGAGGCCCAGGGCTAGCGCTGCCTAAGAGTGGGTCTCCATTCTGCCTGCCTTAGCCTGCCAGTCCCCCAGCCTGAGGGCTCCTTCCCAGGGGGCCCCCTGCCATACCTGAAGCCCTGGGGGCAGATGCACGTGTAGCCGTTGACCGCATCCACGCACTGGGCCCCGTGGCGGCACCTGTGGGCCACGCAGTCATCGTTGTCCACCTCGCAGAGCTTCCCACTGTAGCCGGGGAGACATTCGCATCTGGAATGCAGCAGAGCAAGGCTGTTCTGTGGGCCAGGGTGGCTTCCAGGGGGCCTCCTGTCTTCTCTGGGTACCCACATTCCTAAGTCCCTCTCATTTCTCAAGGGCTCCCTGAAGCCCGGCCCACGGTTGGCTGCACCAGCCGTCTGTGGGCTCAGGGTTCCCACAAGCTGATGTCTGCTTACGTCATGTGGGGGCTCCTGTTTTTAGGAGCTGGTGGCGGCACTCAGGGAGAAGGGTGGGCGCTGCAGCCCCAGCACCTGCTGGCCCAGCTGCACACAGGGCCCCCCAGAGCGTGCACCTGGAGCACGCAGCCCTGGGCTCCTCTGTCTGGGTGACACTGGCCAGAGTCCCAGCACGAAACAGACCTGAAGGGACTGCATTGCTCACAGGGGCAGAGGCACACACACAGGCACACGCCAACACCAACACTTCCTGGCGCTTCTGCCTCCTGCAGGCCTGGAGTCCACGTACTGCTGTGGGCCTGCCAGCTGAATTCCACTGGGCCGAGTATAAACAGTAACCACAGTCCACCCAGGTCAGAGGAGGAAGGTGGGCCGGGTGGCCAAGGTGCCAGGGAAGCAAGACCTCTGAATACACCTGGGACAGAGGAGCCTGACCCGAGAAGCCACAGGACAAAGGGATGGTCCTCCCTCCTCCGCTCCCTGCTCCTCCTCCTGAAGGAGTGGATGGAGCAGAATCACAGGTGCATCCCGGCATTGCTGGGCTTGCTTGGCAGAACATGGCATGTGCCGTGGATTCGTGGCTAGCTAAGACTCCGTGTCTGGGGTGTTGCTGGAGGAGGACAAGTTCCAGCGCCTGAGGATCTGCTGAGCCTGCATTCAGAAAGTGGAATCAGCTACAATCTGACCTGTTCACCTTTACTGATCTGCAGGGTAAATTTCAAATATGTGGCCTCCTGCTACCCCAGAAAATGCAAACTTTGATGTCATAGCCCTCACTCCGCCCAGGTTTTTAGAGAGACCAACTGGGCAAGCTTCTCGGTGGGGGTGGGGCACGGGCTCAGTATACCCGCTAGTGTGAAGCCTGGCCCCTGGAGGCGTTTGTCTAGAAGTACCTGCAGCACAACTCAAGCTGCACGAGCCCCTCTGAGGCAGCAGTGGCCGCTCAGTCCTTGCAGGGTAAGGTCCAGCCTGGGAGGCATGGAGTCAAGGTGGCCGAGGAGGTCTCCATGAGGACTCGGAGGCCGTGCGCCCTCGCAGACAGCAGGTCTGGGGGCAAGTGTGCGCCTGTCCTTCTTCCTGGCAACGCTATAGCCCTCTTCACACCTGTGCTGCTCCAACAAAGCCCTGGGGCTCCTGTTACAGTGCAGCTTCTGATCAGGGCGGCTGGGTGGGGCCTGGGAATCAGCACGCCGCACAAGCCCACGTCCCTGGGATGCCGCTGCTGCTGGTTCCTGCACCTCGCTTCCCACAGCAAGGATCTGCCCACCACTTCTTCATCTGCTCAGAGGAGCATCTGGGGGTATAACGTGCATTCCCTAATGTGCTCCCGTGTTTCCCCGTTGCCTTTCTTCTCAAGTGTAATAAGGCTTAGATGATTTTGTTATGTATAGAACTTTTTGATTCTGGACAAGGGAGCATAACCAAGTGATCTCTTTGGTCCCAGGACATCAGGAGTCTCCCGATGTAGCTAATAAACCAGTCAGGCCTGGACTGACTCGCAGCCCCAGTGTTTCTGCGTGTGACTGCGCGGACGGCTTTGCCTCAGCTCGCGGCACCTGGCCCCGGCCTAGCAAGCGGAGAGTTGTTTTTACAGCCGGAGACCGCGGAGTGTGGCGGGAGACAGGCCAGCGTGCCTGACGCAGGCGAAGTCCTCCACGCGTGGTAATCACTGTGACGTGCTTCTGTCATTCTGACTGCCTCGGTTCATGCACAGTGTGACATGGTGACATGCGCAGTGTGCTTCATTATCTTCCAGGTTTGGTACGTTACGATTTCAGTGTTTATATCACAGATAGGTATATGGTTTTATCTGTTCTGTTGTGTCCTCATTAGAGCATCACACGAGGAAATCTTCAAGGATAAACATCTTCAAACTTAGGCCAACATTGCATTGGCTGCATGTGTCTTATTACTGTCCCTGCAGCCTGCCTTGGGATATGGGTGAAGAGAGGAGAGGAGAGGAGGGGAGAGCAGAGAGGAGGGGAAGGGAGGGGACTAAGATTAGGACATGTTGCACTGGGAGAAGGGGTGTTTGATTTAAATGCATTTTAATAAAATCCACATTACTGAGCTGGCTATAGCCCTCTTCACGATGCTGGGAGACACTGTGCGTAACTACATCATCTCAAGATATTGAGAATTAGACTGCTTTCCTTCTATGTTCTAGATTCTTCCTATTTCGTATTCTATATTCCCCCTAGAACTCAAGGGGCCTTGGCTACAGTAGAGTGAGCTTTCTAAGGACCAGTACCAGAGGATCCTGTCTCTGGCCCCAAGTCCCTAGCACCCCGACCCCAGACCTGTACCCCGATGCGCCACTTCCGACCAGCTCTCATGCTCACTGTGCACTGTCAAGTCGGCGTCCTCTGAGTTTGAGGAATGCCCCCGATCTGCTCTCCAGCTCTGGGTCTTCTACTCGTCTTCACAGCTCAGATGCCTGGCCACCATTGTTCCCCCTTGTAGGCACACCCAGAGCACTCTGCCTGTCGGTCCAGCCTGCTCTGGTTTGGGTTCAAGTCTGTTTTACGCATCTCTTCCTCCCCTTGGCCTCTTCCTTCAGTTAAAGAGCAGCTCTGAGTTGAAGGCAAATCCAGGAGTAGGAAAAGTGGGATTGGGGGTTGGGAGGCTTCCCTCACCCTTACTTACACTCCACCAGCTCAGCTACTTCTGAGCCCACGTGGCACCTCTCAGAGGGGAGAGGAGCAGATAGGGCGGATTTGAATGAGGGTGCGTGCACGGCAGGAGGCAGGACTGAAGCTTCCTTTGGGGTCAGCAAAACCAGAGCCCCTAATAGGCCTCTAGCATTTTCTCTGGTGATGGGCTCTAGGCTGGAGAAGTCAAAACGGGAAAGGAAAATACCAGACAAGATATGCTCATGTCCCTCTCTCACCTGTACCTGTTCTAGACCCTTCTGCTGCTGGTGGGACCCTCTCCCGCTCCCTCAGCTTGTTCAAATCCCACCCATCTCAGCTCACCTCCTAAAGTGTGTAGGGGCTTCCCTTTGCTTTAGCGGGTTCTTCTCTCCCCTCCTCAGCAACTTGGCAGCACTCGGAGCCAGAACTGAAGGCCCCAGAAATGCCTTCTTTCTACACACTGGTTTTATGTCTGATTTTCCTCCCCCAGGTCCATGGCAAGGGCCTCGAGAGTGAGGGAATCAAAAACTTTTCACAATACCCGTGGCACTTCCACAGCGAGAATCTGAGGACGGAAGGGTCGGCTCACTGAGGGGCAACAACCAGAACCCACGATTCCTAGATTCTAGGATCACAAAATTTCTCAAGTTCTTAAGTCTTGGAGAGATTTATGAATCTAAGAGTGCACAATTCCTAAGTCCCTAAGATTCTGTGATTTAATATTGTCATTAGCCTCAGAATTTCTAAAATCTTGGGTTTCCATGAAGTGCTAAGCTTTGCAGCATAGCATTATAGTCTCAAAACCCCCAGAGTCTGGGAACTCTTCTGCCTTATGAATGAAAGCTGGACACACTCAGACTGATGACAGATCCTGGAGCCACCTAGACTCAGAGGCTGCTCCAGAGGCTGGAGATGCTACTTGACAGAAGGCTGGTCAGGATTTTTTTTGAAGACTCATCAGCAGAGGCACGGAGCTCCAGACCCACATCTCTCATCTTTAGGGGTGACTCTGTGGAGTCACTTCTGATATCTTTGCTGAAGGCTCGTCTGGGGTGCCCCCAGCTGTTCTGGCCTTTGCATGCTCCCCCAGATTCACTGGCGCTAGAGGCTCCCGCCACCTCTCCAGTGTTGGGCAGAGCCTGCTGGGGATGAGGGGAGCCAACTGTGTGTGCAAGGCAGCTTTGGGAGAGGATTTAGGGGAGACTGTTCTTGGCCCTAGAGTTCTGGGATGTTCCTACTGATGTCAGTCTATCCAGGACTCAAGGATCTCACGGTTTTCTCCAGAAGAGGCAATGGTACATGTTTTCATGAAAGAGGGGTTGTGGAGGAAGTAGGGACAGAGCCTGGGAGTGATTTCCCGGGGTGTCATCTGATTCTCAGGCTCTGGAACTGGTACCTCCTGAGGCAGACACTCCTTCCACCCTTAGAATTGCTCCTGAGCGCTCCTTTCTCCCCTGGGCTCTGCTGCTCACTGTAGAGACAGCGCCACCCACGGCCATACTGTTGAACCGAGTCAGTGTCCCCTCTCCCCTCCCCGTCTCCCACCCCACCTCCAGCGTACACAGGTACATAAGCTGGCAACCTCTCTGGAGCCACAGAGAGCAGAATGCTGTGAAGGAGGCACTCAAGGAAGATGAGCAAATGCCCTTCAGCTTCCTCAGTGGGCTTGTTCTATCATACTAGCTCTGGAGAGGAAAGTATGCTGGGGTTGGGGGGTGGTGTGGGAAGACAAGGAAGGAGGGGAAGGAGAGGATAAGGGAAAGAGGGGATATCTTTATCTCCATCTGTCTGTCTATCTACACAGAGAGAGATGGACTCAAAAAGAGAGAGAACCACAAAGAGACAGAGACAGAGGCACATACATAAGGAAACAAAGAGAGACAGAAAGAATTAGACCATGACCAGTCAGAGACACAGAGAAGCACACAGTAATGAAAGAGTAACAGGCAGAGAGAGAGATCACGAGTGGGAGCGAATGGAGAGGGCCCCATTAGAGGCAGAGACCCCAGGACCCTGTGTTGCTGGGGACACAAAGCCAAGCCTTACCTGAATCCTTTGTCCAGGGAGATGCACTTGGCCTCATGCTGACAGAGGTTCATCCCGGGCACGCAGTGGTCAATCACTTCATCGCACAGCTCACCTGTGGGGGTGGGTAGAAAGGTCAGGTGCCTGGGAGACCCTGGCTAGAAGGTCAGATCCATCCAGCCCCCAATCAGGAGGTCGTGGATCTCAGGCGCCCTGCATTCGCTCTCTTGGAGCATTCTTTCTCTTGTACCCCTGCCTTGGTCTCCATAGCAGTGACACTGGGAGGACTTGAGGATTCCCCTGGACACTGTCACAGCATCATCCTTCAGCTGTTTCACTTGATCATTCACGGGCTGCTGCAGCTGAAACCACAGGATGCCAGACCCTGACCTTGGGCTATGCTTAATTGTATTTCTCCTTCCACATCCATTCATGGAGCACCTCTCATGTGGCAGACACCCTGACGGGCACTAGAGACACAACAGTGACCTAGTCTTGTCCTCCCCATGGCCTGGGGGGTGGTGCAGATCTACAAATTAGTAGATGACTGTAACACAGAGATGTAAGTGTGACCACAGGGTAAACGCCGTGAAAACTCAGAGGCTTCTTGGAGGAGTGGATGTGGCTTAGCAGCTGAGTCCACCTGCTGTAGACAAGTAAGCCCCCCTGGATTTTCTCAGAGAAGAAACTATGAAAGGAATTTTGAAGTTGAGGTCTCTGGATACACTCCCTTTGAAAGTCATCATGCCGAGAAATGCCTAATGGGTCAGAAATACCCAGGGATGGTGCTTGCACACAAGCTCCCCAAAGTTCACACCACCTGAGATGTTCTCTGGGAATGTGGAGCAGAGTGAGATGGGACAGCAGGGTGACGGCAGGGGCAGATGCACCCCTGAGCTCTGGGCACCCCTAAATCCAGCTGGTAAGCCAGGTGGAGAGTGACCTAAGAGAGGAAAATGTCACCCATGGGATTTCTTTCGGGGGTGGGGGCGGGAACATGGGCAGTGAGGGCTTCTGGGACAGGGCAGAGGAAGGTCTGAGGGTGGCTGGGGTAGAAATGGATGACACACACAGCCCCAGTGTCTGTTCTGTGCTGTGATGCGGAGAAGCTGACCCCTACCCTATCCTCATTTTGCCAGCCTCTCAAGATCATAGAGGCTGCTGTGTTCTTTATAAGGCATTTCCTTTTCCTCACTTCCTGGGGAGACCCAGAGAGACAGACAGTCGTCTGTGTGAGACTGGCATTTTCTAGGACAGAGAGAACCATGGCAACCCATTCTTAGGCAGAAATGCATTTTAGTTAACTGCAGACATAGGCCGTGCTATCCCACTAGCAGGAAGCCACCTCAATAAATGTTTCCTCAGTCCCTCCACCACTGCTCATTTGCCCACCATAAATTCAGTCCTACTGCCCTTCCTTTGCCCCAAAGTTTATTTTGAGTTGCTTTGCCTTCTCTCTCTCTCTTTTAAAACATTTTATTTATTTATTTGACAGAGAGAGATCACAAGTAGGCAGAGAGGCAGGCGGAGAGCCTGATGCGGGACTTGATCCCAGGACCCTGAGATCATGACCTGAGCCAAAGGCAGAGGCTTAACCCACTGAGCCACCCAGGCGCCCCCGCCTTCTCTTTTTAACTGCTGAGATTTTTACTGTCTCTCTTCTGGTACCAAGTGGATTCTTCTGGACCAACAATTTAACCCTACATGACGCCTCCTCTCCTCTAGGTAGACCAGATGCCCCCTGAGAGCATACTTTTAGACTTCTTGGTATCCCTTATAGCTAATTCAGTGGTCTGTATACAGTAGATTTATAAGTGTTGCCTATTGCTAACTTAACTCTTGGTTACAACTCTGCTCTGGGAAGGTGGAAGATATAGAGGAGGACACCGTCAGCAGACTTCCCTGCACTTTTCTCCAGCAGAGAGCCTCTCCTGGGACCCAGGAGGCTGAGGAGTAGCAGTGTTTTCTCAGTCACCCTTGGCACGCTCTACCACAGTCCCAAGAGTGCACTTGGGGCATACCGGGTTAACGGGCTGGGGTCTGCATATGGCACAGGGCCCCGAAGGGCACTGGGGGCTACTTGGCTTCCTTCTCCATGGCCTCAGAATGCCTCTAATCACTGTCTGTATATTCTCATCTCCTACCTCGTTCCTGATGTCAAGCCAGGTGCCAAAAGGACAGGCTGCAGCCGTCCCTGGGATGCCCGGTCTTTGTTTTCATCCTTGCCTTGGGCTGCTATTTCCTAAAATACATTTCTTGCAACACACAATGTCTGTGTGGGGAAGGAGATCTGGGGTAGGGTAGGAGGGAAGCTCTGACTTCAGATACATCTGGGACTTGCAGGGTTAAACAAAGTTAATCAGCATTCTTTCAAGCAAGAATTGTCGGAACCTCTAGTGCGCTGCTTCTGTGTCACATGGAAGAGAACTATTGTTACATACAGTGCCGCTCCAACTCTCGTTCCTGGAGGCTTTTCCTCAAAGAACTCACGGAATTTATGGAATTGCATTCTTGAATATGCCACTTTGGGTTGCTCCTACAACAAAGGAGGCTGTGCTCCTGCCACTGGGTGGCATTTTGCTTCATCATCTAGTCTACGTAACTGTTCTCATCAGGGTCTGTCAATATAGGACATAGAGGTGCTGTGTTTTAGGGCTGGATGGGTAGCATGAGGACACTGATGAATGACTTATGGGAGCCTTCCTGGATTCTCTGTCTGGGTTAGGTTCTTCCTCTGTGATCCCAAGACTCCCCGGGGGCTTACAGGTGTTGTATTCTCTTTCTACATGTCTCTCTCTACTTGACAATGAGCTTCTTACGAGAGGCCACTTTGTCTTGGCCATTTTTGTATCCTCAGCTCCTAGCAGAGTGTCTAGAAGTTGTGAATTTCCAGAGAAAGCAGACTAGACCTGAACAAAGCAGAAATGGAAAGCAAAGGCCTTTTGCTGGCCTCAACCAGCACTGGCTCTCTGGGGTTCCCAAAGGAGGGGATGGCCATCGGCCACTGGAGCAGACAGCTGCAAGTGCCCTGGGAACCTGAATCAAATAGGGAGGAGCTAGGGATGTGCCCAGTGGGGTGGGTGAGGCGGGCGGGGGAGAGATGGGAGGGGCCAACAAGCCAAGAGGGCTTCTGGGAAGCCCCTCCTGGCACAGCACCGGGTTTGGGGGATTCACATCTCTGTCCATGGGGGCAGAGGGTGAGGGCCCTGAAAGAAGCTAAGAAAAGAGAATTCTTTAGCACATGACCCCTGGCCCACTGCCATGTGCAGGTGCTGGGGGCCTCACCTGTGTAGTTAGGAGGGCAGACACACACGTAGTTGTTGATCCCGTCCACGCAGGTGGCATTGTTCTCACAGTCGTTGTCCTCGCAATCGTCTGGATTGATCTCACAGCGCTGGCCCTCAAAGCCCAGAGGGCAGGAGCAGCTTTGGGGATGTGTGGGAAGAGAAGGAGGGGAGCAGGGGCGGGGGGTGTCAGAGGGTGGGGTTGGGGTGGCAGAAAAGAAGGTTGGGGGAGATAATTAGTCAGGTTTCTCTCTGGATGGAGGTCCCAGGCAGCATTCTGTCTACCTGAAGCCCTGGGGTCCTGAGCAGGGAGACCCTTAGGGGCCACAAAGGTCATTTCATCTAGCCTGCTGTCTCTGGGCAATATTCCATCCCCTGGCCCTGGATGACTGCCTGCCTCCATGCCCCCAGCCCCCAGCTGGAAGTGGTTTCCTGGAGAGAGCTTAAATTCTCCAGCTGTCTTCCTTTGGCTCTTCTCTGGTAGTGGTAGACAGAGAGAGGAAACAGCAGAACACACATCCCCCTCCGAGTGACTTTCTACTCAAGGACAGGCCTTCTACCTCGAGCAGGAATAGGACACGGTGGCCAGGATCAGGATCCGCAGCCAAGTATCGGGAATGAAGTCTGGGTCTGCTGCTTCCTGGTTATAAGACCTTAGGCCAATTAATTAAATTCCATGTCTCAGTTTCCATATCTAGTGACTGGGGGAGTACAACCTTCCCCCGTAGTGGTTGTGGAGCGTGAGGAGATGACACAAATAAAAGGCTTAGTGGGACCCTGGCACACAGAAAATGCTCAGAACATGTTAGCTAGCTTCACTTCTAGATACTTCTACATCTGGCCTCCTTACCCTTTCTCAGGGATGCCACTGTTCCCTGCATGTACTCCTACTTCTGGGACCCCTCCAGCTTCTGGGGGAGAAGCGGACAGGGAGGGAGGCTGCTTTCCTGCCCACGCCGAGGCTCTCTGGTGAGCTTCGCTCAAAACACTGGATTGCACGATGCATTCCCTTAACTTGTCTCTGAAGCGCTACATCTCTTGGATCAAAACCTCAAACCTTGGCAGTCCTCTGCCCAGCTTTAGTCACATCCCAGGATTAGGGGTGCAAACTAAGCCGGGACGGAGAACCCTGAGCGAATGAGAAGGGGCACAGGTGGGAGACGAGTATCTGATTAAATTAGCTGCAGGGACTTCCTCCCTTTGTGGCCCAGCCCCCCATCAGGGATTTACACCCCATTCACGGACATATGTTCCAGCTTCAGACTCAGGATTCCAGGCCTTTCTCTGTTTTAGAGACTGCTCTGATTTGGGATTTAGGCACTAACCTAAACTAATAGGAAGTGGATTTCTAGAATCCTACTTAACTTCCTTTCCTCTACAACCTGAAAGCTGTGTCACATCTTCTACAGAAGGCGGGGGGAGGGGGGTGGTTCTTCGGTCTGAGCTCTTGAGGTAAAGCAAAATGATGGATTCCTGTTTTCTGTGAGGGACTCTGGTGTTCATGAAAAGCGATTTCCTCAGAGCCAGACAGAGGGTAGGTTTTCGAAGGTCTGAAACCACAGTATTGCCTATTTTCCTGAAATGAGTTACCCGGGCTGTCCCTAGAGCTTCGGGATTGCATGAAACTGGGATACGGATGGCTGGTCAGGGAACGGCTTGCTCATGCAGTGGACAGACGGTGGGAAGGAGACTGAAGTCTCCTCTGCCCTCACTGGAAACCTTGGCAGGCGGTTGTCAAGGAGACTCCAACAGCACCCAGTTAGCTTGGGGATGTAGGACAGGTCTTATCTCCTGTCTTGGTCTCCTGCCCAGCCAGCTCTGCTGGCCTTTGCTCTTTTTGTGAGCAGATAATGCACTAAGACTGGAGAAGCATCTGATGAGGAGGCAGATGTAACTTAGATGCAGTTATCCCCAGGGGAGGGACCATATCCTGGTCCCATATGACTGCCGTCCTTGTAAGAACACAGCCAGGTAGAGACAGAGACCCAGGCTGAATGCCACGTGATAATGACGACAGAGACTGCAGTGGGGCAGCTGCTAGCCAAGGAAGGCCCGAAATTGCCTGCCACCAGCAGAAACTAGGACGGGGTGAGGAAGGATCCTTGCCTTTCCCTTACAGCGTTCAGGATGAGCATGGCCCTGCTGACACCCTGAGTTTGAACTTCTTGCTTCTGGAAACATGAGAGAATACATTTCCGTTGTTCCAAGATACCCGTGTGGTACTTCATTACAGCAGCCTTCGCAGAGGGACACAGGAAGGAAAAAGGGAGCACAGCTTCCCCGATGAGTGTCCCTCACTTTGCCAACCTACCAGGGGTTAACCTAGTGAGGGAACGGGCTGCTCTTGGGAGCCCCCCATAAACTGTGCTGTCCCCAGTATGTGGTCCTTACAGCCTTAATCCTCCACTCCATTTCCCTAATCCTGGAGGTCTGGGCCCTTTTTCTTGAAAATGAAATTCGAAAAGTATTTCCAGTTTCTCTGTATCCCCTCAGCAACTGAGGTGGAAACAAGATGCTTCTGCTCACCTGCAGCTCCAGAGAGGGAGGCACCCACAAAGAGGAGGGCAGGGCGTGTTTGGGGGGGTGGGAGGCATACCGCAATTCGAACCAGAGAGGAGAGACACGGTCGCCTGCAGGGGCGCTCCTCTCTCTTGCGGACCTCCATCCCTTGGCTGGGTGGGCAGAACCAGGCTCTTCCCCTGGAGGTGTTTCCTGGCTGGGGCCGCATGGCCACCTCCGTGAAGTTCCTGTGTGGTTTCTCCCCCCCATACCCACTCCCAGCGATAAGGTTAGAGTGGGTGGTTTGGCTGACTTCAGGCAGGAAAACAAACCTTGCCTTGAATTTCACTTTTTAAGAGCCAGAGTTTGATGGGGCTGGCTTGGCAGGTAGACACAGGGGCAGGCTGGGTTCCTTGGGTAGGAGAACTGGGAGCCCAGAACCTGTTGCAGACCACATGGCAGCCCCTAGCCAGAGTGCCTCTGATGCTCGTTTGCAATCTGAGCTCTGACACATCCACACACAGCTTGGCTCAGCACCCCTTCCTCTCCTGCCTCCCACCCACTCGCTAGGGGTGCTAAAGGAACCACTTCCTACTGGTCGCTTTTGCCAGGGCCAGTGGCCAGGAAAACTGGGCGTCTGAAAGCAGTCGAGAAGGGTGGGAAGTAGGAAGGGGGCCTGGGGATTGGCAGAGGCCTTGAAAGCCCGCTTTTAGAACAGGGATGGGAAAAACGTAAGTGGCTTCTCTTTTCTTCCTGAGCTCTCAAGGAGGAACACGTTTGGGTGGGAAGACCCAGGAATGAGTGTCAGGATAGGTGACCGAGCAAATTCATCTCTGTGCCTCAGTTTCCTCATCTGTCCAATGGGGCTAGCCCCAGCCTCCAGTGGGTAGGGTCACTATGAGGATTTAAATGAGATACTACAGACTAGCTCGTGCCCAGAACGTAATGAACATGTAGTCAAGGTCACCTGTTATTACTGTTTGTAGCACCCAGAAGAGTGCTGGAATTCCCATGCTGGTGGGGCCCTGAGCCATCATGCCATCCTTCTCTGACTTCTGCCAGCAGCTGCAGCCTCCCCTGGTGCCCTCCTGGCTCTGGAGACAGACTCCCTGAACTCTCTCCACCAGCGCTTGCTAACCGTGTCACCGCAGAGGATGAGTCCTGTGGGAGCCCTGACCTTCTCATCTGTATCGTAGGGATCACAGGAGCTCCCTCATAGGGTGAGAAGGGTCTTGAGCTCATCCGCACGATGGGCCTGGCACAGTGTGGGCACATAGTAGGCCCTCGGGGAACAGCTATGCCTCTTCGGCCTGCCCCAGGAGTCTGCCCAGAAAGCCCTCTGAGGGAGGGAGGAGAGGCCTACAGGAGCGCAGTTACCTGAACCCGTCCTTGTGGCTGTCGCTCAGGTGGCAGGTGCCCCCGTGCCAACAGGGGTTCTGGATGCAGGTGTTGATGGGCACGGTGCAGTCTTTGCCCTGAGGAGAGGAGGGAACAGCGACGGGTTAGGGAGGCTTTCAATGACCACCTGAACCAGGATGCCCCTTGGAGCTCCCGGCATCCTCTGGGATGGGGCCGGGCAGATGGCCACAAGGAGGTCCTGGGACCGGTCTGCTGTGTGGCCCAGAGGAAGCCAAAGGGGGCCCTAGGAGTGAGTGAGCGAACTCAGGAGTTTGGGCCTCAGCTTCACTAGTTCCCAGAATTCACATCCTGTTCTCTATCCCGAACCGCAGGGCAAGAATACAGGAAAACCTGGGTTCACAGTCCAGCTTCATCTCTCTCTGGTGGGCTGACCGTGACCTTGTGTAAGCCTTCTAGCCTCTCTCAACCTGCCTCACAGAGGTGTGTGAGAGTGAAATGCGGCCTTTCCCGTGAGGAAATGCCTCAAGAATGTAAAACATCTGGCACACAGTAGGCGCTTGGTACATGCTAGCCGGTGACCATATTCCTAGCCCTGTGGAGGCTTCCATGGGGCCCCAACGTGGGTAGGGCAGAGGAGTGCTGAGGTGTGGCCAGCAGACCTTGCCCCTGTAAAGTGACAACGCCCCCAGTTGCTCATCTTTGATGGGTCTGGAAGCAGGCCCGGGCGTTGGTACTGAAAGTTCTGATTCTTTCAGAATCAGAATCAGCCGGACTGAGGACGCTGCGACAGACAGCTGTGGGTGGGGTGGCATTCCTCCGGAGCGGGCCCCTCTGAAGGGGGACACTTGAGCGAGAAGGAGCCAACTGTGCAGTAGGCAGGGAGGAGCATGCTGGGCAGAAGGACAGTGAGGGCAAAGGCACTGAGGAGGGAACCCAAGGTGGACACTGTGGCCGTTAAGACTCCGCCGAGGGAGCCGCCCACTTCTTGGTCCGGGCTCCAGCTTCTCCCGTGGGACTGATGCCCCAGCGCCGCGGCTAAGTCTTGACAAGCAGTCCCCTGGAGGACCAATGGGGTCTGGGGAGGCATCCGCTGCATTCGTTTCTGGGCTGTGGGCTTGGTGTGGGCAGCGTGCCAGGCGGGGGTGATCACGGGAGCCCTCCCACTGCCACACCACCTGCTCACCATCTGCCTGAGAAAATCCTCTTCCCGCCGCGGCTGCTGCCAGGGCCTGGGGCGGAGTCGGGTAGGGCTCCCTGGCTTGGAGGTCACTGCCAACTGGGCCTGCGACCCTCTTCCCGGCTCACACCCTGAAGCCACAGGCACAGTCTCCAGCAGCCGGGAGGCACAGCCGCGTGGGTCTGGCCCTCCGGCTCTCACTGCAAAGGGCCAGTCAGGGGTTTCTCAAGGGGGAGAAGGAGAATGCAGTTTGGGGTGGGATCTGGGCTTACTCTAAACCAGAGCAACACGGGATCCCTTTCAGAGACTCATTGTGTGCGATGGAAACTGCAATACTTATTCTCAATTTATTGAGCACATTTTCCATTCCAGGCCTCACACTAAGGGTTTTATATTCACGATCACATATAATGTTCACAACAACCCTCTGAGATTGGTATGGTTGTTATTACGGCCATTTCCAGACCAGGAAGGCAGGCTTGGAAAGTGAGCTAATATGTCCAAGGCGGCACGGCAGCAAGGGGAGCAGGCAGCGGCTGAAGCCAGCCAGCCAGTCCACAGCTAGTGCCGGGGACCTCTCTGCTGGCCCTCTCACAGCACGGCTCCAGACTCAGCACGCCTGGGTGGACGCTCCCGTCCGACTGCTATGCGCCTTAAGGGGATTACCAGCTCTCTCTGAGCCTTGTCTGCATTATCTATAAAGTGGGGATAATAATGACCTCACCTATGGTGACGAGAAATCATGCATGTATATAACGAGCACCTGGCATGTGACGGTAGCGCTGGAAGGAAGAGCTCTTGAGATGGGGATGACGTCAGGGGTCTGAGGCAGGGCTGGGTAGTGGGGAGGGGGATCCAAAGACTTTTTCAGGCCTTTGGTTGGGACTGAATTGTTCAGGAGTGTGAGTGTGTATAAGACGGATGAGCCGTGAAGAGCAGGACAGGAGAACCCTGATCAGGTCAAGGCGGGGCCTTCCTCGCCCCTACCCGGGCCAGCCTCTTGGCTCTGGGGAACTCTCAAGGATCAGGGACTCCAAGTGGGATCCTCCCTTGGGGGCGGGATGGGGAGATGTGGAGTTGGTGGGGTTTCCAGCGGTCCCTTACGCTGAGCTCAGAAATCCAGGAGGCAGATCCTAGCTCTTGACGATGTGCTAATTGGGCCTGGAGGTGAGGATTTCTGTCACTTACGTGTCCTTGAGAAATAATCACCATTGTCAATGCCTGGCTAATTAGCTCAATTCAACTCTCTTCAGCCTCACTTTGCTCAAATCTACTAGATTTATGGTGCTCCATGGTCTCCTACCGCTGTGTGTATGTGTGTATGTGTGTGTGTGTATGTGTGTGTGTGTGTGTGTGTGTGTGTGTGTGTGTGTATGTGTGTATGTATGACAGAGAGAGAGAGGACAGACACCATGGCTGGGACTTCTGGCTTCTTTTAAAGGAGTTTGGGAGTCGCTGTCCCCACTGGAAACCTCTTCCTGAGATGGGGCCAGGTGGGCCGCTCCAGGACCTTGCCTAGTCAAAGTATGGTCCTTGGGCTACTAGCACTGGCATTCCCTGAGATCTTGTTAAAAATGCATAAACTTGGACCTGATCTCAGCTCTTATGGGTCAGAACCTGCATTTAATAAGGTCTCCAAGAGGCTCCCATACACATTACAGTGTGAGGAGCGCTGTGCTGGGACACTGAACAGAGCCACATGAAACTAAATGGCTGAAAACAGAATGAGCCCAAACATACACTGTCTTTCCCTCAGTGTTAGCAGAGCTGTAAAACTGTTCTCTCTCTGAAGCAGCTGCTGAGTCTTGGCTCTGAGGCTGCCAAAGTGCATGCATGACCCATTCCATCCTCGCAGGGGCTCTGCCGGTAAGTAGACGCTACGTATGTGCAGGGACGGGGCGGGGCGGTGGGGGGCACGTGAGGCTCAGAGGGAACTGGTTCCTTGTGGGGTGTAGACTCTCCTGCAAGGGAGATGTGTCCTCTGGGTTTAGCTCATGTACTTCCTAGGTGTGGGAGCTGCGGATGTTATTTGATCCTTTTGACCCCAGTTTCTACAACTACCAGAAGAGGACAAGAAAACGTCTTTCAGAGGATAAGAGAGAGTATGAGATCAGGTGATGTGCTTACGTTGCTTCACAGAGGCCTGGCATTATAGATGAACAGTAGCTGTTACTAAACATTACGCAGTGGGGGGGTCATGCTTTTGGGGGTAATATTGCAGCTTCCCACGGTCACTCAGACAGTCAGTGGAAAAACTGAGATTTGGGGAAATAATGAGATAAACGTCAGAACGCTGAGCGTGGTTTCGTGGGTGTCTGCTGATTGTTGCCAACTCTGCAACTCACCCAGGACTACTCAGTCACTCTGCTCGGGTGGACTCTGACCCCAGAAGAAGGGAACGCAGGGGAACAAACACAGGGCAAGGGGTCAGATGGAACCCATGGTTAAGGGACCTCTTTGGTTCTACCTGTTGCATGTTGAGGTTGAGGAGCCTGAGGTGGGGGGGCGGGTAGTAGGAGCTGTTCCAGGTCACACAGTCAGGTAGAGACAAGCTCTGGGGGTCCCGCTTGGTGTTCCTTCCACCAGCACACCCTACTCTGCCCTGGTCTGGAGACTCTGACAGCTCCCACATGGCCACGGACTCATGGTGCTTGCCAATAGGCCATGAATGCGGTGGTCAAGAGCATGGGTTCTGGAATCAGGTGGTTCTAAGCTCTGAATCCCAATGGTCTCATCCACTATCAGTTTCCTAAACTGGAAAACGGACCTGGCCTCCTAGGGCTTCGAGGAGGGGTAGGCAAGATAATGCTTGCACCTTGTTCAGTGTGCTGTCGGTATGCAGCAGGCACAGTAAATGCTGCCTGCTCATTTTCCTGCTGTCCTAGTCATCACCATCATCACCGCCACGCACCGTCCCACCACCAGCGTCCTCCACGTACCCCAGACCTGTGCGAGCCCAGCGGCTTCGTAAAGGCCCCAATCTCTGCTCAAATTCTTCCACAAGACATTCAGAACCTTGCGAGCGAAGTCCAAACAAGCGGCATTGTCCCGCCAGAGCCCTGTGCTTGCACTCTGCTCTGACCGAAGGCCAGGCCAGTTTCACAAGCATAGCAGGAAGTGGGGCAGGAAGCAGCGGGGGGCTGCAAACCCAGCTCCCGGACTTTCAGACGCAGGCTGCTTGGACAGAGAAGGGAGCGAGACTCAGACTGTGAAGTGGTTTCCCTTATCTTTCGGAGAGGGACGACACTGCCCGTCTCAAAGGCGATTATAAAACTTAGGGGAGGGAATAAATGCAAACGTCCAGCTGAGCACCCAGCACACAGTCAATGCATAAAAGAGAACTACATACATCTGGAACTGGGGATGTCATAAGTGTACATGTCCCCTTTCTAGGAGAGCAACTGATAGCCTCTGACCATTCAGGGTCATGGACCGAGACTCCTGGGTAAAGGTGAAGCCAAAGGCAACAGCAGGCCGGCTTACTGCGTGCTCACCGAACGACTCTCCTAGGTGCGCTGCACACGTTACTGTGCCTGTGATTTGCACCGCACACCTGTGAGATGGGCCCTGGTCTGTCGATGGAAGGTGGAGAGGAGACCCCTGGCCACCACCGCACAGCACAGCTGGAGGCCACCCTCGCCCTCTGTGTAATTCCACAGCCTGTTTTCTGCATTAAATTCATACAAGGGAGCTTGAGGACCCAGGCCTGAGGATGTCATCTTAATTTCTCTACTTCCCCTGCAATGTCTGTGCACGTGCACACGTAGGATGCCTGGGTCTGGCGTGGTTGGCTGGGGCAAGACTGGCTGGCAGGCTGCAAAGGGAATCCTCTGGCTCTCCTGTGCCAGGCCCATAGGTGGCACTCTGACACTGTCGGCTGGAGACACAGCTGGCGTGAAAGAGCCACCGGGGAGCCCTGTTCCCCAGAGTGAGTCTGCCCCTCAAGCTGGTCACTACACACGCAGATGCCCCTGGGGACAGCAGGCCCAGCGATGCCGGCTCCCTCCCACTCTGCCACACTAGCCATGGGCGTTAGATGGGCTCTGGAGTAGTCCTGCAACTCCTGGCTTGCCCACTCCATTTGGATGGGCACCCTGGGGAGGTGGGAAGCGGGGGAGGTCCTGGGGAAGAGGATTCAGCCACGGCTTTGCTGACCCCAGTGAGGCACAGTGAGGGGCTCGGCCATCCAGGGGAAAGGGTGGGGACTTTGGAATCACACAGCGCTAGGCCCTATCCCAACCCTACTGTTTATGAGCTTTGGGACACTGAGTCAAGCCCTTTCAACAGTCCGAGACGCAGTTTCCACATCTGTGGATGGGAAGTAATCAGTCTTCCCCATAGGGTGTGTTTAAAAAGTAAAGGTGAATAAAATGCCAAGCAGACCACCTGCCACGTAGTCCATACTCTATAGATGTTAGTAGGGAGGCAGGATAACATGTTCTAGATGGTGCTGGATGAGAAGAAAGAGGAAAAGTTGTTCTGGAGGTAGCCTGGATTTCTAGGGAGGACACCCAGGAGAACGGGCATCTCCATCCCCTTATGGGCTCATGCGAGCCTGTGAACAGTGTGTTGGCTTGGCAGCCCCCAGGCCTTTCAATCTACCTTCTTGAACTTCAGCTGGAGCGGCGCTTCCAGCCCTGGCCATCAGAGGGCGGAGCTGGGGAGGTGGAGGGGAGGATCTGGAAATCCCCTTGAAGGGAAGCCAGGATGGTGAGTTCCACAGATGCCTCTGCTTGGAAACATCTGAACTCTCTGAGACTTAACTTCCCCATGTTTAGCAAAGGGCATACAAATATTACCTTTCCTCCTTATCTCGGAGTGTCACTATCAAGACTGTAGGGGTTCTCTATGCTTTGCACGACTGGGCAGCAGTGGACGAGGAGTGGTACTGGCAAAGACCACTCCAGAGTGACCAGCAAAATGGAGTTGTCCCGGCTGCCCTTGGAGAAGGGAGGGTCAGCAGGGCACAGGGCCCCTCCTGGGGCCGTGGAGGGTGGGGGCAAGGCTTCCTGTCTTACCTTGTAACCATAGGGGCAGGTGCAGTGGTACAGCTCCACGGGATCCTGGCTGCACGTCCCGTTGTTCCTGCACGGGCTGGAGAGGCAGGCATTACACTTGGCTGCAATGTTGATGTCCACTGGCCCTGGAAAGCAAAACCAGAATGTTGGTGGCAGGTCACGGTCACCCCTCCCTCCCCTCCTCACCTCTCTGGCCCCATCCTCAGCCAGCTGCCGGCTCCTCTCCATCTCTACACACAGAGGGCAGTTGGCCCTCCCCAGCCAGCACCATCCAGCCTAGCTAGAGTCCCATTAATGCAGTCACTGTCCAGTGAGGGAAAAAAATCATAGTGGTGCATCATTCAGAAGCACTTCTGCAGTCAAATCAATTACTATAATTAGCCTGATCCGATTTTGGAGCTAATCTACAAACAATGCACCATAATTAGAAGCCCCTTGTGTATCTTTTAATGTTCTGGGAGCTCTGGGTCCAGGCTCCATTTGGACCTCCCATTCCTCTGCTCCCAAGCATCCCTCCCCATGGAGTAGTTCAGGCTAGGCTAAGGAGCGCATGGTGCCTGGGCCAAAGGAAGTCCTTCTTGTGGAACCCTTGAACTGGCGGGAGGAGGGAAGAAGTGACGGCAAAAGACACAGCGATGAGGTCAGTGGTGGCTGGCAGACTATGCTCAGGCACACATTGCCTCTATGACAGTTCCGACCATGTCCTGTTCTCTTCAGCTGTAAGCGTGGGGGGTGGCCCTCATGGTCCCTGCACAGAGCTTCGGAGACTGGGTTGAGACTGACCCGCCCAGGCAAGTCTGACCATTTGTGGGTAAGGGAACAGAAAGAACGGCCTGACGGAAGCTCTGCCAGCTGACTCAAAGCCAGGCTTCACATTAGGAAAGGGACGCTCTCTGGCCTGGTTTGCCGGGGACTGAGGGGATTCCCAGGATGCAGAACTTTCAGTGAAAACACCAGGAAGGTCCCAGCCAAACTGGGATGAACAGGTCACCTTACGGTACGAACAGCCAAGGCGCTTTTAAATATCCCCAGCGCGCCCAGGCTGTGCCCCGCCCTGACTGAATTTAAAACCTGGAGCTTGGGGCCCAGGCACCAGTAGAAAGGTCCTCAAGTGATTCCAAAATGTGCAGCTATGATTGAGAAGCACTGTTTTAGAGTGAGCCAGGCCTCTTTAACATCAATCAAGTCAGATGTTTTGGAAGCAGGAGGAGGAAAATGAAAAATTAGCTTAAAACCAATGGAATGTTTTCCTGCTTTAAGCAAAAATGTGAGACACATGAAGTTTATAGAGTAATCAAAGCATATATGTAAATCAAACTCAAGGCTCTAAGAGATGAGCAAAGGACATTAACAGAAAATATATAATACAAGCGGAAAGTAAATTTTTGAAAAAAAACTGTTTCCCCAATAAAGACAGACAAAAGAGGAGATATGATTTTTTTTAAGCCTCTCTAATTAGAAATGAGATGAAATGAGATAAAATAATGCACGAGTCTGGTGGAAAATGCACTCAAATGGTGCTATTGGGGGCATAAAGTGGTTTATGACCTTTTTGGAAACTAATCGGCAATATGCGTGAAGACCTTAAAGATGATCACATACTCTGGCTCGGTAGCTTCTGTTCTCTGAATCTTACTAAGGATATAATTGTATTTTATTTTCTTAGAGGGAGGGGGCAAAGAGAGAGAGGGTGGGGGGAGGGGCAGAGGGAGAAGGAAAGAATCCCCAGCAGACTCTGTGCTGAGTGTGGAGCCCAATGTGGGGCTTGATCTCATGACCCATTGCTGAAATCAAGAGTTGAACCCACTGAGCCACCCAGGCACCCCTAAGTGTATAATTTTAAATAGAGAAAGACCTTTATGCATCAGTGGTAAGAAAATAATTGGAAATATCAGTGAGTACTATGGGTTCTGAAGCAGGAATTGGTTAAAGGAGTTATGGCACAATATTAGTCTGGTGGGCAAGACTGTGAACTCTGGGATCAGAAAGACCTGGAAGCCTCCTAAGACAAGTCTTGAGAAGTCCTTTAACCTAGGTAAGCCTAAGCTTTCTCATTTTTAAAAACAAGGGTAATACTGAAGTCTACCGAGAGTGTCGGGGAATTAAATAAATACTTGGAAATTGAGAATTAAATGAAATAACACACAAAAAAGGGCTTAACATCATGCCCAGCGCATAAGAACTCAGTAGCGGTTTGTTATCATAATGATATAGTCGATTAAAATCTCATGTACCAAAAGCTTGCCATAGTAAAAATGGGAAAATGCTTATGCTTTAAGAATGTTGGGTAAAGAAACGCAGGCTAAAGATTTTTCTCTGTGCAAAACTACATAGAGAAAGAAGTCAGCGAGGAACACATAGGGATGCCAGCAGTGGGACCTGGAGGAGAGATGACAAAGCGTCTGAGTCTCTCGAGGTGGCCCATGGAAGAGATGGGGCAGTGGTTGCAGAAGTTCCATCTGTTGAGATGCCCAGCTCTGACTGGCTGTTGGAGACAGAGCAGACCCCTGGGGGGGCGGGGGCAGAGGAGAGTCAGCAGGTACCTTTGCACTGGAACCGGTGGGTGGGGGTGGTGAGCAGGAGTCTGTCAGCCATGGGTTCGGGGCTACTGCAGCGGGCGATGCCGGGTTCCTTGTACCCTGCCTTCACCCACTCTGAGAGCCAGCGCAGACTGCAGTCACAGTGGAGTGGATTGGTTCCCAGTGCCCTAGAAGGCAGAGCAAGAAGTCAGGGCCCCCTGCTCAGCTTGGCCCAGAGGCTCCACGGAAAAACAGAATCTTCAGACTCTGGCAGGATTAGGGGTGTCTGACTGGAGACCTAATGGAGAAGTAGTTTTCACTGGGCTAGTTTCCACCAGACTCCAGATAGTCCTTCCAATCCCTCCAGATGTTTCCACCCCACCTAAGGCCCTCCCACGTCTGAAGTTTTGCTCGCACCTGCCCCGCTAAGATTCAGTCCTCAAGTTAACCCCAATCCTAGCCCTTCCGGGATGTTTCGAACTTTGGCCGGCTGACTCTCCAGCTCACTTGCCCTGCTGAAAGGATCTACTCTGCAGAGAAGGTGCTGGTACACAGCAACCTAAGGAGAAGCTTCAGACCACAGAAAGGGCTCAGAGCCCGCCACACCTACACATTCTGTGTCAGTATATTGATGATTTTGAGCTAAAGGTACTTGAGAAACGGCAGGTGCCAGAGGGGCTCTCTGACCTCCCTCTTTCTTTCTTTCATTTTTTTTTTTAAGATTTTATTTATTATTTGTCAGAGAGAGAAAGAACAGAAGCAGGCAGAGTGGCAGGCAGAGACAGAGAGAGAAGCAGGCTCCCTGCTGAGCAAGGAGCCTGATGCGGGACTCGATCCCAGGACCCTGGGATCAGGACCTGAGCCGAAGGCAGTGGCCTAACCAACTGAGCCACACAGGCATCCTAACCTTCCTCTTTCTACCTAAGAGCAAGTCATAAAGTTTCCTGTGAGAAAGCCGCCTTCCCTGCACCAAAAAGAGAAGATTCTTACCACTAGAGCCTGGGAGTCAATGCCGAAATGGACCCCTACGAACAAGCCTGTTCAAATAACCCTGATCTTTCATCAGTCCATCGATATATTTCCTGGCCACTGCCCCTTAACAGACTGCCCCAGCCCAAGGCCCTTTGTCTTGTCCCATCCCTACAATCATTCCTTATATAAAAATGTATATAAGCTTTTGGGCCCAATGGCGGCTTTGGGTCTTCATTTTCCTTTTAAAGACCCCCACGTACACATAAAAATACCAAATACATTTATATGCTTTTCTCCTGTTGCTCTGTCTTATGTTCATCTAATTCTTAGGCCAGTCACAGGACCCAAGGGGGTAGAAGCTAACTACACCAGTCAGCTTAAAAATGCACAGGAGGGGGGATGGCACAGGCTGGTGCAGACCTCTGCATGGGGGTGTCTAGACAGAAAATACAAGAACTTTTTCTTCTTTCAAAAATCATATCCTTTACCATTTCTACTTCTTGAATGTTTTATAAGGTACATAAATAATGTATCAGTATCACAGTATATGCATGCACTATGAAAATAATTAAATATGCATGGAGTTGGTATACAGACTCAAAAATGGTCACTGGCAGAGGTATGTAACAGCTAATATGTGCAGACCTTGGTTTCCACTGCATAAAATGGGGAGGGAACACCTCATGCCGAGTCGTAGTGAGTTTGTGCTCTAGAGTCAAGGTGAACCAGGATTTGAACCAGGGCTCTGCTGCTTACTCGCTGTGCAGCCCTTGGACAAAGTCTTGAGCTCTTCTCAATTTTTAAGTTTCGCCATGTGTAATAAGGGGACAGAAATGCTTTATTGCTGTAACAAGTAAATGAGATAATTCATCTAAAGTGTTTATCACATAGTAAGAGTTTTATGTTAGTTCTTCTTATTAAACATTTACATTGTTTACATAATTGATGACGCCCCTGAAGGTGTCTGAGGCAGAGAACACACGAGGTGCACCACATGGGCACGTTTTTTTGGAACACGCTCTGTGCGTACCGGAAAGAACATACACTGAAATGGGTACAGGGACGGCATGATGCCTGGCACGATCATGATACTCTGTCTTCAGCGGATCCACACCCAGGAGAACTAAGGCTACTTACAGATGGGAAAGAGACGTCAGGTCGCGAAAGGAGCCTTCGGGAACGCTGGAAATGTCATTGCCGTGGAGAGTCCTGAAGAGGAAGCACAGGGTGGAGGTTAAACCCCAGTTATGGTTCTGAGCTCAGCATGCCCTTGGGGTCCCAGACTGGCCCCGACACCCCTTGACTGTACTCAGAGCCCCACTGTTCCTAGAAGGAGGTGCCTCCTCTGTGGCGGGTGTGTGCCCATTTCCATGTCCAGCTCAGCTGTGCAGATGGTGGGGGGGTTGGTAGAGGGTTTGAGGGAGATGAGGATGGAATTTTGAATCTGACAGGCCCAGGGTGGAAGGAGAAACCAGTCCCTTTTAGTTGTGGGATCCTGGGTGCATTAGCTTTACTCTTCTGAGCCTCCGTTTTGGCACCTGAAACATGGAGAGAGATGTCTATGTAATGGAGGCAATGGAGAGATTCTGGGAAGAACCATGGTCGAGACTAAGCTCTAGAGCTAGGCTGCTTGCCTTCAACTCCTGACTCTGCCACTTACCAGCTGTGTGACTCTGGCCAAAGTTATTTACCTCTCTGTGCCTCAGTTGCCTATTGTACAGCAGGAATGAAAGTAAACAGATTTGTCAGAGAAGGTGGTTGTGGGTGCATTAATCCACACAAAGTCTAGCATTTTCTATGTGCTAAATGACCAACCATTATTCATATATGTGAAAGGGTCTTGAAAAAAGGCTGGTACAGATCAATAAATCAGTTTCCTTCACATTCACCTACAGAGATTTGGGGCAGACTGAGAAACATTATGAATCCCAGCTCAGGTGACAGAGGGGGGGGTGGTCCCCGGGACAGTCCATGGAGCTGGACACTCATCCAGGTTTGGCGTCTGCCATGACGTGAACATATCTGGTGCTCGCATGCCTCCAAGTGCATTTTCTGACAGCATGTCCAAGAGGCCAGGCGATGCGCTCGGTATTCATCACACCCCTCTCCACCTTGTGTGGCAAGAGCTGGGAGCCATTCTCACTTGCAGAATGACGGCATAGACGGCACTTTTAGTAAATGGCTGCAGGATAGGTCCACAAGAAAAACGAAATGCACACTGCGTCAGCACTCAGGTGGCCCTAGTAAATCCGTAACTCATGGCTTACACCTTCCTTTGAAGGACTGATCATCAAACACCCATAGAAAGTCCCCACCCCGATGACTCCCTTGGGTCTGGCCTGTGGAATGCACGGTAGGTGAAATTCACAGACACTCAGAGGCTCCGCTGGTGACTACTGCACACGGCCGTCTGTGCTGGGAAGGAGCCCACCAACAATGGGGCGGTGAGAAGTGACTGCAGAAGTGTAAAAGGATCCTAACTAATGAATCTGCCCTTTTGTTTTCCTTTTAGCTGATAGCCTGCCCTGGGCTTTGAGCTGGAATATAGACAGGAGCTTAATTACACTTAACACAGAACAGAACCTCTCCAACAGACTGAGTGCCAGAGCCAACAGATTTCTGAGACCCATCCTCAGGGGCTCTGATCCCATGTATTTGGATGGGGGCGGGGGCAGAAGGCTGCATTTCTAACCAACTCCCAAGTGACGCTCATGCTCTCGGTCCCCTGAACCACATTTAGTTGCCCTAGGTCATCACCCTCATCACCTCAAGCCCCTTCCCCTTTCCTATCCCCAGGACAGCTGGAAGAAGCTACCCAGTCCTCCAAAGAGAGCTGGAGGTAGCTTCTCATTCCCCGGATAAGAAGGGGCCAGAAGCACTTCCTAACACTCACCAGTATCATCTAGTCTGGAATGCATGTGGTTATTTATGAATCATACCGGCTCCTGCCTGCTATTAGCTTGGATGACTTCATGGCTGCTTGCTGTTCAGCAAATGCACCCAGCCCCGTTGTTAATCATTTCTGAATGAGGCCTGGGCTCCTGGAGAGGCATGAAGCCCTAATTTAAAAATGCCAAATGACCCAAAGGCAGCTTTGGTGCTGTGACTCCTGCAAGTCACGCTCCCATTTATTACGAGCTGAGCCACTGAGATCTCCATAAACTGCAGAGTAACGGGGCTGTAATTTACTGGGACAGCACTAAAGAAATCTGTCTATGCTGCAGGTTCCCACTCCCGGTTTGGCCCCCAAAGAAAGACTCTTGCCTGTCCCGCTACCATCCTCAGGGCTGTCCGGGAAGTGGGACAGCTCATCTTCAAGAGCCCAGGACTCCTTCCCTGCTGACTCTTAGGAGGTGTTAAGGCCCAAACTTGGGCATTTTGAGGTGCAGATGAGGGCATCACTTGGAGTAACATGAAAGCAGAACCTTCTCATGACAGTTCTGAGTTGCCTGAACCTCAGGTCTCCAGACCCCCAGGTGCTCACGGTATGTGTACGTGAGGCAGGTGCTCAGGGTTCGTGTGACAGATGGCAGGGATGACCATCATCCTATCCTGTATGCGCATGGGGGTGGGTGGGCAGATTCTCTTCTGAGCAGGCTAGGTCACTCTCCCGTGACTTGGGGGGTTACGTTCTAGATCAGAATGCCTGAGTGTGTGTCCCTATTCTGAACACCGCTGGCTATGTGATTATCTGATTCAAGGGACTTCATCTTTCTGTTTCAGTTTTCTGATCTCTCAGATGGAGGAATTCTTAGGATCCACTTACAGTAGATATCTTTTCAGGGGTGTGGGTGGATTGGCATCAATCTCTTTTCGGTAACAGTTCCTTTTCCATGGGGGAGTCACCTTTCCCCACCTCTCAGTCCATCTGTGCCCAGTCCACCCGCGCACAACTATGGCCCAAGTCAGCGTCAGCCCAGAGTCTCTGAGAGGGGTTGGAGGCTGAGTATGTGACCTAAGTGGACTAGTGGGAGACATTTCTGGGGCTTTCTCTGGAACTGTTAAGCCAGAGACAGTTTCACTTGGAGAAGCAGAAAGAGGCACATTTCTGATAGTACAACGGGAGCTCCCAAACCCAGTCCCAGAAGGTAATGTCTACTACTGACTGTTTCAGTTACCTGCATTGAGAAATTCTCTTCCTGCTTAAGGTGGTTTGAAATGATTTTCTCCTCCTTCAGTCAGGAAGGGATCTAACATACTGTTTCCTAAACCAGTTGCAGAGATGAAAGATACAATGCAAAACGTTCAGATGGCACAGAGCTCAGTGCAGAGCCTGCCCGGGACATGTACTCGCTCATGTGAGCTGCGATTATGGCTAGCTTCGTCATGATTTCGTCCCCTCGAGGCTCCGGGACATGTTTTGGGGCTAGGCCTCTCAAAACATTCCCCCCACACAGTGGAAGCCTGAAGCTATGCAGTCTATACCCTGCAAAGGCAGTAGTGAGTCAGATTCCCAGACTGGAGAAGAGACACCTTGGGTTTTGGCAGAGTGACCCTGCACCCATCACCTTCTGGCCTGTGTTTCTTTCCACCACACTCTTTAACTCTCATCAGAGGACTCTCTAGGCCTTGTCCCTCCAGTCGTCAAGGAAAGTCTGAAATGGGCAGCAAGGAAGAGATAACCTCTGGCTGGGAAGGAGAGAATGTGGTGGCAAGAGGACTGGGCTGGTTGCTGGGAGCCTGGTTCCCACCCAGCTTCTGCTCCAGCCTTGTGGGCTAGTCCTGCAGCACTGCTTCCTGTTCCCGCCCCCAGAAGCCGCACTCCCCTCCCAACTGTCGCTCCTTGGGGGTCCCCATGCACATGCCCTTCCTTCAAGGACTCTGTCTAGGAAAATTATATTCTCCTGGCCTAGAATATTTTCCACTCCACTTTGGCAAAGTGACTCAACCTTGCTGAGCCTGTTTCCTGGTCTGGGGGATGGCGATAATAGTGGTACATTCTTCAGAGGGTGGATATGAGAAGAGGCTATGATTAACTAAAGTACGTAGTCCAGGCTGTATAGTACACACAGAAGGTTTGATAACTGTCAGCCGTGATTATGATATCCCTCTCAGAAAGCCTTCTTAGTGGATGGCCAGGACTGGGTCACATGCCTCTCCCGTGTAGTCCTGTGGCTCCCTCCCAGGTACCACCACGTGTGGCAGGAGGTTATCTACTTGTCTGTTTCCTCTTCTAGACCGTGAGCTCTCTGGGGATGGGAATTGTGTTTCATTATTTTCCTCTCTGATATCTAGCACAGTATTCAACTCATAGTGGGCATTTAGGAAAGGATAAATAAGTGAATGTGGATAAGTCACTAAGCCTTTCTGAATCTGTCTTCTTATCTTATAAACAAGAGGTTTGGATAGGATAATTTTTTAAAGATTTTATTTATTTGGGTGGGGGGGAAGAGAAAATGAGCAGGGGGAGGAGAAGAGGGGCAACAGACTCCCCTTCCCAGACTCCCCGCTGAGTAGGAGTCCGATGTGAGGCCCGATCCTAGGACCCTGAGATCACGCCCTGAGCTGAAGTCAGACACTTAACTGAAAGCCTCAGGTTAGAATAATTTCTGAGACTCACTTCCCATTTCTAAAATTCAAAATTAATTTTATTTTTTGGTAGCACCAGAGGGCCAAACCAGAACCAGGGTTTAGAGGTCATAAGGAATCACCTTTTGGCTCACCAGAATTGTCTAATGTTCAGCAGCCAGTCAAAAATGGAGTAGGATTGGAGCACTTGGGTGGCTCAGTTGTTAAGTGTCTGCCTTGGGCTCAGGACATGATCCCAGGGTATGGAGATGGAGCCCTGACTTAGTCTCCATGCTTTTGGGGGCGCCTGCTTCTCCTACTCCCTCTGCCTCTCTCCCAGCTTGAGTCCTCTCACTCTTTCTCTCAAATAAATAAAGAAAATCTTTAAAAAAAAAATGGAATGGGGTTGGGATGCCTGGGTGGCACAGTTGGTTAAGCACCCAACTCTTGATTTCAGCTCAGGTCATGATCTCAGGGTCTCGAGATCATGTCCTGTGTCTGGCTCTGCGATGGGTGTGGAGTCTGTTTAAGATTCTCTCTCTCCCTCTTAACTAACTAACTAATTAACTTAACGGAGTGGGGTTATCTGGAAAGGGAGCAAGCTCCTGGTCTCTAAAGGTAATCAAGCAAAGGGCAGTGGAGCCCTTTGCAAGATGCTATAGGGAGGACCCATCCCATTGGTAGAACGGGGATGAACAGCCCGGTGCACATAAATAGCAAGCACCATCTTCCTTCAGGGACGAGGGGCTAAAAATACTGAGGATGATGACTGATAATCCCACTCCTTCCCTCATGAGCAGAGCTAACTGATTCCAGGTGGCCCTCCTGCAGCTGGGGCTGGGCACTGACAGTTGGGACCACACACACGCACACAAGGCATGTGGCTCAGTGTGGGGCAAAGATCAGGGAACACGCAGATCCCTCAAGAAGAACGAGAATGTCCATGAGGATGTTCTCTTCTAGCTATTTTTAGATTAGGAGCAAACGAGGAAAAGCAAATTTTCACCCAGTGTTTTGTACTCAGGGTTCCCTGACAACTCTCCTGTCTCAGAAATGTATTCGTATCCACCCACCATAACACACACACACACACACACACACACACACACACACACACACACACCCTCTCACTCTAAAATTCTCACATCTTTCTAGAATACTTTTTGGCTCTTTTCTTTGGCTAAACCTGATGCTCCTTCTTTTCCTCTACCCCAAACTGCCAGCAGCCGTGGGTCTCTGGTCATTTCTGAAATTTTCATCAAAGTAATGAAACCATTTAGAAATGAGAAAAGACATAAATGCTCAAATGTAGCTGTAGCTATTACAACTCCTGATTTCACAAAAACCTACCTTTTCCCCCAACGCTCTAAATTGCGAATATCCTCCTATATTCATTCATCTTTAACTCTGCCTTCTTTTATTACAGAAACAACTTCACATTAGCGAATAGTGATCAATGATTTCTTTTTTCATTTGCTATGTTCCCTTATAGTCCTTCTTTATAAGGAGAAAGGTAGGCAAGTTATAATTGTAACATATATACCAATTAGGTTCACTTTTCCATATAAGGCTGTGTGGTAACACTTTCCCACGCTGCTACCTTGTTTTCATCTTTACCTCTTTTAATAATTGCCCTTCACTGGCCGCCTGCGTTATGCTTTTCCTTAAACATTTCCCCACTGTGGCGCTTGTGGGTACTATATAAAATGTAGGTTAAAAATAACAGAGCAACCAAGATCTTAAAGCAGAGAAACTTTCTCTCATACTGTATTATTCCTTAGCATAAATTCCTAGCTGTGCAATTACTGAGGGAAAGGAGATAAATATCATAAAAGAAACGTCATCCATAAACATTTTTATTTTTCCTGAATTGGCCTTTATGCAGAAAATGGTTGCTCCCCACTGAGGCAGATGGTTGCAACGAGGGCCTTTAAGACCACTTATTATCTATGAGATCCCATGATTCTAAAATGATGATGCCATAAGCCTACTAATTCTTAATTCAAGAAACAAGCAGAAGTATGTGGTATTTTGCTGTGCGCTCCCGATGAACGAATGAGAGCAGTCTGGAGTGAGACAGACGAGGTGCCCAGAGAGCAGGAAACCCCAGTGATATTTACGCGGCCACCCTGGGAGACTAGACAAATGGACAGGCAAGCATTCTCAGCCTCCCTCCCTTTCCTGTGCTGGGTTGCCGCACTGGAACCACTTGAATTTGGCAGCAAACCCATGCAGAGAACTGGAAGACCAGGATGGGAGACAATAGTTTGAGATTGGGGAGGGATGGTGGGACGTGGGAGGGGGCAGCAGGTCCACCCCAGTCCCGGCCAATGAGAGGAGGCCATCTTCCACTGTGTTCAACTAGAAACAGGGAAATGGTTCTGCTGATGTTTCCATTCTCAAACTCCCCAGAGAAGGCAGATAATAAATAAGTGACGATAACAGATTGCACGCTGTCAGCGCGGGCACTTCTTTGCCCCGAGAGAATTGATTTTTAATAACAGCGCAGATGACATGTGGCGGGAGTTGTCGCTGACACCAGTGTTTTGTGGGCTCCAATAAATCACATCAGCCTGGAGGCTCTGGAATGGACGGGCTCACTGGGTGCTGTTTGCTGATTGCTAGTGGATCCTGAAAGGGTCCCAAGGCTCTGAGTCAGGGGGCTGGATGCTGTAGCCTCCTGATGGCTGGATTCTGGGCTAGTTACAACTCAGACCTCAGTTTTCCCATCTTTAAAATGGGCACAATCCCCTCAATCTCACAGCACTGTTGCAAAGGGCTATATGAGGCAATGGCCATGAGGAGTGGCCTTTCTGTCCTCATGGGAACATCATTCAAAGGATCTTCCTTTGCCAACAAAATATGCAAGATGACAAGGCACAAAGATGAGGTGATAGACAATAGGGCCCCAGGATGGGGGTGGCACAGTGAGGCACCATTCCTGCTCTTGTAAAGTAATACAAGTACCGATAGTAACAAGTGACTATTTATAGTGTTTACTACGGACCAGAGCTATGCTAAAGGCTGTATATACATCAACTCATTTAATCCTTGTAAAACTGTATGGGGTAATTATCACCTGTATTTTATGGAAGACACATGGCTAGGGAGGGGCAGAGCCACGCTTGGAAAGAGGTAGATTCTGTGGCTGTCTTGTCTTTGCTAGGAGCTCACCTGCCTCAGTCAGCTGCCCTCTACCCTGGGTAGGATGGGGTGAGGCAGGTGTCATAATGGTGATGGGTGGGGGCGGGTGTGGAGGCTGCAGACTCTGGAGCCCCATCTAAAGGGGCAGGGCTGCTTGGCCTCATAGGAAGGTAGATGGGAAGCCCTGCAACGGCCACGCCTCTCCATTTTCTAAGAGAGATTAGAAATGAGGATTTGTATGAGAAGCCCTCTGATGTTTAATTCTTAGCAAATTACTAAAACTTTGTTCTTTTGAAAGGATGCTCTGTGAGTCCACTAACTCTACAATGGCTAACTCATGGCTGTCTGTGAGCTGAACCAGGTCTCTGGGCTTCTAGTTGTGAGCCCTGACACTCCTCGCAGAGGTTCACAGGGCTTACGCTGGCCCTCGGAAGCCAGGGGGGCCAGCAGCGGAGTGCTCATCAGCACAGTGGCCACAAGCCACACACTGGGCTCTACTGGGGTGCAGAATACACCTGCATGTGCTAATCCTCCCTGGAGAGGTGCTGCTGATCTCACTGGGCACAAAAAGCAGTAGAAACTCTGGGTGTTTGTGATTTGCTCCTGGTCCATGGGCGGTAGTGGGCTGCCCCCCTGCACTCCCCACCCCATTGAGCCCACAGGAGCGCTGGGTTGGGGACATGTTGGCAGGGGGATAGGAGCACTCAGTACTGCCCGCTGTGACTTGGTGAAGCCCAGCGGGAGTTGGGTTCCGGGGTACTCACAGCACCCGGAGAGACCGCAGCCCGTCAAAGGCGTGGATGGGGAGGCACCGCAGCCGGTTGTAGCTCAGGATCCTGTGGAAGGAAACACGGGGTGCTCTTGGCCACTGCTATTCTCAGCTGCTTATATGTGTACCGTCCACGCTGTGAACCAGTCAAGGCAAATGCTTTCTTTCTCTACTTCAGTTTTAAGATACTGACAACATCCCAACAGTAAAAGGAAGAGAAATGCTCTCCAGTGCTCCAGAAAGTTCACTGGCTTTGTTTCCCCAACTTCCTCTCGAGTTCCACGGCAGGCTGGCCTCCTAACCAGCTTTGCCATTGCCTCCCTCTACAGTCAAATGGTCAGTGCTCACCTTGTGCCGAGATAATAGGAAATAAATGGATCTGAGCAAAATAAAATTGTGACGGGAAATCTTCCACTGGGAAGGAAAATTCACAAACCCCAGAAGGTATTCCAAAGAGGGCGTTCTGCAGAAATAATCAGGTCTTAGTTCCTCTTTTACTGCCCAGACAGTAGGGTTCTGACCTACTTTGTTTTCCTTCTGATGATTAAGGTTTGCACTATGTGAGGGCCGCCATGGCCCTGAGGACCACCAGAGCAGAGAACACCGGCCCGAGGGGGCAGGGAGAGAGGATGGCCACACGCCACTTACTGCCAGGCCCACGTTAGACACAGCACCCCCTGTACTCACAGCGTGGAGAGGTGAGACAGGTTACTGAACGTGTAGTTCATCAGCACGCCAATGCTGTTGTTGCTCAGGTCACTAGGAAGAGGAAAACAGAAGGGCCACACTTGACTGTTAGTTGCATCTGCAGGGGTTCATTCCCAACTTTTGTACATCCGTGTGTGCCTGCTGTCCATCCATCCATCCATCCATCCACCCATCGATCATTCCGTTCCTCCATCCATTCACTCACCCGTCTACTCACCTATCCACCCATTCGTCCAGTTTTTTCATTCAACATTTATTCAATCACTCATTCAAGCATTTGTTGTCCATTCATCCATCCATCCATTTACCTTGTCAACCAATTCCAAGTCTATCCTTCCATTTCATCCTCCCACACCTCTGCCAAGTACAATCTCCAGCTTCTCGGCAGGGATAACTATCCCAAGCGGTGGTTTTCAAAAGCAGCTGTGCATTAGAGTCCCCTGGAGAGTGCTTACACCCTCCGAGGCCTGGGTGCCATGTCCAGACACTCTGGTTTATAAGTCAGATCTTCTGAATTAATTGCTTGAGGGTGGTTTGGAGCATCAGTACTGAACAAATTAATCAGCTGGGTTCTTGACTCAGGGTACGTTTGCTTCCCCAGGGACATGTGGCAATGTCTGGAGACATTTTTGGTTGTCACTTGGGGAGGGACATTACTGGCATCTCATGGGTAGAGGCCCCAAGATGCTGCTCAATGTCTCACAGTGTCCACAGCCCCACAAGCAAGAATGACCTGGCCCCAAATGCCCACAGGACTGAGGGGTAGAAATCTCATCTAGAGGCTCATCTGGGGGATATATAGGAAGCCAGGCTGAAGGAGGTGACAGGTGGCTTTGTTCCACCTTTCTTCAGTAGCCACACTTTCCCAAGGTAACAGTGATTCATTCTGAAAGAACGTTCCTTTTCCCCCGGTGGACTGGCTCCCTGAACCCTGAGCAGCCAGGGTGACCTTCCACTGGCCCCAAAGAATTATTTTGTGCCCTTATGGGTCCCCTCCTGGCAAGGCAGTGAGGCTGTCAAGGGACAAAGCTCATGGACCACGAAGCTTCCTGGGCCCACCCATGTCCTGCAGCCCCGTTCCTTATTTGGGAATTTTTCCTGGACCTTGGCAGACTTGGAGCCAGTAGGAGCTGCCACCTGAAGGAACGTCAGTTTGAACCATCTACTTGGAACATTTTCTAGGCAACTAGAGGAGGAAGAAGAAATGCTCATTTAAGCTCTTGGCAAAACCTCAGTGCAGCCACAGCTTGCGAGAACCTGGAGACTGAGGAGTCTCCTGATTCAACTGGGGCCCCAGAAAGTCAGAGGCTCCCCCACCTGTCCCTAAGCCCAGGGGGAAGGTGATGTGGATGGTCAGTGATGCCAGGCTCTGGTATTTCTGTGTGTAGTTCTCCCTGGTAAGGCCTGGCACGTCAGACTGGCTCACGCCAGCCAGCTGCTTCTCTCTGCTCCACCCCGGGAGAAAGCGCAGGAATGCCGCGAGGCCCGCAGACCATCCTCCTTTACCCTCCACAAGAGTTTCCTGAGCCTCCTCAGGAGAGAACAGTCCATGTTCCCCCCGCCCCCCATGCCAGGCTCCTTACATAAGTGTCAGGTGTCGGAGGGCAGACAGCTCCCTGGGCACGGCTGTTAAGTGGTTTCCTTCCAGGTACCTGCAAGAGAGGCACACAGTGACACCTGGTCCAGAGACGCTGCACACGTGGTCATTTCACCGACATTCCTCCTCTGACTTTCTGGGCAAGGTCGGGCCTCTGTTTTACTCTCTCATAGCTCCTTTTCTCCCGCGCCCCCCATCTCAAAGCACATACTACATTTGTCACTTAATATTGATTTGTGTGATTATTCAACAAATGACACTCTTTCCCACTGGTCCACTATCCTCCGTGATGGTAGGGCTGTTGCCTAAAACTGCCCAGTGGTGGACCTCCCCCCACTCCCCGAGTGTGTACAGAACTAGCATACAGTAGGTGTCCAATAAACATTTCCTGAATACATAAAGCACTCACTCTGTACCCAAACCTCACAATACTCTCACATGGCAATGTTTCATATTTGAGGAAACAATTTCAGGGATGTTAAAACACTTGCCCAAGTTCACACGGCAAATGAGTGGATGAGCCAGGATTTGAACCCAGGTCTCTGACTGTCGTCTCACCACAGTTCCCTGTGGCCTTTACTTAGCTACTGGAGGGCATGGGAGGGCTGAGCCACAATTCCTGCTGAGAACCCTAATTCAGGGTTGCACCGGGAAGCTGAGGAGAAAGAGTGCGTTCCTGGAGCACTATGCTGTGGTTCCCAGCAGGATGACTGCCTGCGGGCGGGGACCACGGTTCAGACCTGAGATGGACCAACAGACAGAGACTCCTCCTGGATGGGCAAAGGCTGTGCCTAGACCTGTCTGGACTTCAGGGTCCTGCAATGACCTGCTCACCTAAGATGAGGTCACCTCCTCGGACACTCAAGTGTGCCTGAGGACAAGAGAAGGAAGTCTTGTTTTGATTATGTATTACGAAAGTCATGACTACCCTCAAGAGGGGACATGGGCCAATTCATTCAATCCCATCCTTGCTGTAAACTCCTTCTCCCTGGGCTTCCTGTTGCTCTTGGGAGAAAATGACAAAATCTTTAAGATGGGTTGCGATGGCTGCCTTGAGCTCCAAGGAGGCAGATCCTCTGTCTTTCTCTCCAGCCTAGCGCTTCTCAGAATTTAACATGGGTACCCATCACCTGGGATCTTGCAAAAAGGTAGATTCTAACCTAGCAGTCTGCGCCAGGTTGGAGAGTCTGCATTTCCAACAGGCTCCCGGGTGAGGGTGGGAACTGCTAGTCTGCAAGCTGCATATTGAGTCACAAGGTGCTGGCACACCGCCTGACACCCAGCAGACCCACCGCCAAATGGCTGAATGGGATGACATGGGTTGAAACAGGATGGGAGTCAGCTTGTCAATGGCCAACCCAGGCTTAGCTTTAAGGACAAGTTGGAATGGGTGTTTCCTTAAATTAGGGCCAAGTGACTTTACTTCCAGGGCTGGCCCCTCGGAATCCTCATGGGCCAGAGCACTGGCAGGACCCCATAAGGTCTGAGGTGGCCATGGCATGCTGGATTATTGTCCCTTTGGTCCTTAATCCTTTGGGGTGTATCTATTATGTGCCGAGAGCAATGCCAGATGAGGGAGGTAGATACAAAGATGAACCAGAGCCCATTTCTGCCTTCAGGGAGCTTGATCATCTGGCCTAAAATTCAGCCACATACACTTAGATCATGCCCACAGGCAGAGGAGCTAAGAGACATGTATTCGCAGATGCATTCACGTATTCAGGCAGAAATATTTCTTGGGCAACTGCAGTGTGCTGGGCAGTGTACATACTGGTGGAGAAGACAGGCGTGATGCCTGATTTCCTGGCATTTGAAAATCGAATGTGGAAAGGGAGGGGGAGGGGCTGGGAGGGAGCAGGGAGGAGAGAAAGACTGGGGAAGATAGAGGGAGAGAGAGAGAGAGATTAAGGACATGCACAGAACGCACAGAAATTACAAACTGATGCATGCTTTGAAGGAAAGAAGCAAAGTTCTGGAATGGAGATGCTGCTGAGGCGGGGGTGCTTCGGAGGGCCAGGGAGGAGGGACAGTTGGGCAAGAGTGAGGCCTGTGGAAGGCCCTGGGCTTGGGTGCTGTTGAGGCAAAGAAAGAAGCCTGGGAGGCCGGGCTGGCAGGCTAAGGGGGATGGGCTGGTCACACACTGCAGCCTGGGAGGGGTGTCTGTTCCCGGGGCAGGGCGTGGCAGCAGACAGGTGCAGGGGGCTGGCGGAGCACAGGGCTTGCCCTGCATTCACCCTTCTGCTCTGCACTGAGGGACGGGTGGCGGGGCATTCACATCCTGTGCGGACATGGGCCCTGTGGCTCAACCGTGGTGGCAAGAAGTAGACGTGTAAAGAGCTCCCAGCCTTCTCCGCTGTGGGAGGGGCGGGATTCTGGGGTCATGCGGGGCCGTCTGTCTTCAGGGAGTGTTTTGTGGACAGTGTGGCACAAGGGAGGGAAAAAAGGAGGGAGGGAAGGAGGGAGGAGCTGGGTGAATGAGCAGGGCTGGTGCCAAGGCACTGGTCCAGGGAGCATCTCTGCTGGAGGCAGGCTAATTAATCACGAGGGAGCCACTTGAAGGGGTCTAGCCTCGGGCTGGTAGTGACGGCTCACCCTCTCCCATGCTGCTCATTCTCTCATTCTTGTTTGTTTGCTACAGCTACTTAGCAAACTCGAGGCATCTAAGAGGAAACCCAGAATAAGACACCACAACCCCAAATCTCCCTGCTGGGATGTTTACAGAAGGCCCCATGACAAGCACATTGGAAGCAAGTTACTTAACCTCACAGATAAGGAAACATAGTGACAAGGAAAATAACAACACAGAAAAAACAGGTGTACAGCCTAGTGCTGTGGGATCCAGAGACTCTGGTCTATTATTTAATCCTCTAGATATTTTGCTGGGTGTTTTGTCCATTTTGTTAACGAGGACACGGAGGCTCTGAGAAGGGAGGAGTGAGCCCAGGAGCCAGGATGGAAACTCAGGGCCACCGGGCTGTGCCGTCCAAGAAGCCAAACCCACGCTATTTCAACTCTCCCCCTGAAGCTTCTTATTGTCACCTTTGGCCATCTCTGTCCTGCGAGGAATCACTCTACCACAGAACTTACTCTCTCACTTCTGCTAGAACAGAAGATGCACGCAGCAGGGATCTGGGCCGTTTCTGTTTCCTGCTGCAACCCCAGAGCACAGTCTAGGGCTTATCACACAGTAGGACCTCAAGTATTTGCTGAATGAATGACTGAATGAATGAAGAGAAGGGCTGCCTACAGTGGCATCAAAGATGCCCTGTGGCTGACCCACGTCCATCTGTAAGGCAGGCCACGCTCTGTGGATGCGGGCGTTTGCTGAAAGTTGAATGAACGCATAAAACCGCCACTGGAAATCTGGGAGGCTGACAGCATGCTCATCAGAGGTGGGGAGGCTCGGGGGTCCCTGAAGGGTAGGCAACATGACACAGAAGCTTCTGGAACCTCTGGGCAGCCATGCCAGTCCCCTGGGTTCCAACCTGGCTTTGATCAGTGCTCTGCCGATGCCGACTGGATTGGTCTTGCTCCCTGCTAAATACCCTTCCGTGGCTTCCACTGCTTGCTAGAGAAGGACTACCCAAATCCTGCCCAAATCCTTCCAAGCTGTCTGTGGCCTGTCTTAGGTCAGTCAGGGTTCTCTAGAGAAACGGACCAATAGGAGAGATACACAGACAGGATACACACATATGAATATATATACAGAAGGAGAGAGAATTTGTTTTTTAAAATTCTTAAAAAATATTTGAGAGGGAGAGTGCACACACACTCACGCATGCAGAGAGGGGCAGAGGGAGAGAATTCTCATGCAGACTCCCCGCTGAGTGTGGAAACCAACATGGGGCTCAGTCCCAGGACCCTGAGATCATGACCTGAGCCGAAAGCAAGAGTTGGCCACCCAACCGACACAGCCACCTGGGCACCACAAGACAGAATTTACTCTAAGGAAGAAGGGACAGCAAGTCGGAAACTCAAGTAGGACCCCTGTGTTACGATCTTCAGGCAGAATTCCCCCTTCTACAGAAAACTCCAATTTTTCGTTTTTAAGGCCTTCTACGGATTATATGAATCCTACATCCATGTTACTCTGGGTAAGCTCCTTTACTTAACTGCACCTACAAAATACCTTCTGGGCAACATGTGGGCACCGCAGCCCAGTCAAGCTGACCCATGAGATTCACCGTCCCAGGCCCTGCCTCCCTCTGCTGTTCACCCCACAGCAAACTCTCCCTTGGCCTCAGCCCTGCCCCCCAAATGTTCCATGCTTCTTTTGGAGGGCAAGTCTGGTCACATATGCGTCCCCCCCACCCCCCACTAGTTCACTCCAACGGCTGCTCAGAGCTCAGTTCCAGCACTACCTCCCCGACATCATCCCCACACCCACTGCAGACATGACAGGCTACTCAGTCCAAGCTCTCAGTGCATTTTCTTCACAGCATCTCCCCCGCTCGCTGTGACCTCCACATGTGAGTCTGTGATTAGTGGGGCGTGACCATGTCTGTTTGCTCCCTGTGGCACCCCAGGACGCTGGCTGGCGGCGGTCGAGGCGCAGGAAACACTGTCTGTGCGATGCAAAGCCCCGAAGTCCGCAGGGAGAGCTGTGTGCGGCCCTGCAGGGCTGAGGGGGGCCCGTGTGGGACCTGCTTTAAGGGCACCAGGTCCCTGGCACCCTGGTGTGGCGGCACAGAAGACATGAAATCAAAAGGCTTCACTTCACAAACACAGAGGTGGCTGTGCGGGAAAGCTCTCTTTGTGCAAAGCCCTTCGCGAAGACTCTGAACTCCAAAGTTGCCTGCAGCCTGCCGCCCAGGCCCGGAGGGACGCTTTCAGAAGATGCCACGCTTGCCCTGCCGGTCTCGGAATGATCAGAGCCTCTCTAGCGGGTCAACCTTTGTGTCGCTCTGCATTTAAACACTCTGTTTTAGTCCCGGCACCAGCCCACGAGGATGTGCCTGCCTCACATGAAAATCCACACAGAGCTCTGTCGAATGGATGCTCCCCTTTTCTGTTCGGAACTTGGAGGCGCTGACAGGCATCACATAAGAACTCTCA